GCTACAACTGTGTCCACTTGTGTCTCAAATCTTATCTACACGTACAAAATCAATGACTGTAAGTGTTTTGTTACTTGTTCATTTCTGTTAAGTGTTTATCTACCCATAATTTGTAAGTTAACCCCAGGAATTTGTTCTTTAACTTGTTCAGTTGTATTTAATAATACACAAAGCTAAGTGTACATCATTTCTGTTTATTAACGCAATATAGTTTCACTCGAGCTTTTCACAAAATGTAACCTGCATGTCTACAAGTCCTGTATTAAAGGAGCAAGGCGCTCAGTTTCCTGGCTCGTGAAGACAGAGTTTGGCTTGCTGTTGATTTTTGTTAACATACTCCACGTATCCAACACGTATTGATAACAGTACAGGGTGGGTGACCTCTTCATGTCGAGGTGATTGTATATCATCGAGAACATAATAGTTGCGTTCGTCCCCTTGTTCGCTTTAAAACGGTGTATCATTTGTGTTATACGTTGCCAGGGATTGTTTATTCAATCATACAATTTACATGTGTATGTTTTATTTGTGTTTAGCATTGTCTAAATAAAAAATACTGAATTCATTCATTCATGCATCTCAAGAAGATGCATGATGGTCTGATTTCTTTTCCATATGCTATAGTTTCCATCAGACCATAATTTGAAAGACATGATAATTCTCTAAAGGGTACTTTAAACAGACTGCCCCATGTTATTAAAAGGTTAGTGTGGTTTTCTGTCTTTTCATTGCAATTTCAGACATTCTGACAAACACATAAATCCTGGAAGACATTTAATCTCAGGCACATTATTGACCTATCAAAAGAAAGAACTCTCTGAGATATATGGTTGGAGTGTTTTTATCTTCTCTCAAATGTCCTTATGTATAAAGTAAAGATTATATTGTACAGTGGTTTTCAAAGAAATTGCGGGACTTATAGTAATTTATTGGATAGGGACAATGCACATTAATGAACATCAGTATAAAACAAATGTAAATATGCCGGATTATAGCTACAAAGCTAGTTTTCATCCGTAGTCCCAAGGCAGGCAAATTGGGGGGTGCAAAACGCTTTTTAGATGCAATGTTATTACAGTAGAATATATATTTACTAAATTATTTGATCAAATTAACACAATATTTAAGAGTAATTGGGAAATATATTCACTCCATTTACATATGTCATCAGAAAGATGCACACGCATTGCTCACAAGCCCAACTACTGTGCTTGCGTCTTCACAGCTTTGTTTCTCTTTCTGTTTGAGCAACCACGGTATATTTATTTACTAACTATTAATATAATGAAAATATAAATAGGTTATTATTTTACTCTGTTTTTGTCCAAGCATTAGGAAATACATATTACATCATGTGCATGGATTCTTGCAACATCTAAAACGTTCCACAGTGTGGATTTTTTTATAAATCAATGATAAAACTAAGCTGCAAGCGGCAATGAATGGCCCTCTTCTTAGTTAAACCGTGCCACACAACTCCAATAAAAGGGCTATTTCTCGCTTAGCTTTGGGCTAATTTATAGCCGTTGTTCTACAGTTACACGCAATCACCCTGAACTATTGGACATGGTTTCTAGTGGTAGGGGACACCGGAGCACCCAGAGGATTCTGGACATGAAAACTCCACGCCTTGTCTGTATAGGAGGTTCTTGGAGTGACGGCGTTGTTTATAGTTTTTCCGCGGCGGTCACGTGACCGTGTGGCAATACAGCATACAAAGCTACCTGGATGCTAGAGAGTTAGGTAGTTTTAGACGTTTGGAGAGAGGTTTTACTAAATCAAATGGTCCATTCTTGCTGTGTAGTCGGTTGTACGGCCCGCTGGGGACAGATTAGGGTTTTATTCTAATCCTTTCAGAAAAAAACAGTGAAAAACGGCCGCGGTAAAGTGGTTGCACTTCTATGCTGTTACCTACCTACCTATAAAAATTCACAAACAAATTTAAGTTTTGCAACTACATGTACTTTCACTGCGCACTTGTTCACTCATTCATTCATTCATGAATGAATGATGAATAAGTTTAAACATTGCATTCTGGTTGCTCATCCCCGCGGCTTCCTGTTCCACCTTTACCGGAACAGCAAAAAGGGGAAACCCGCTTTTAATGCGTGGAAAAATGCCGGGCCACTTTACTGCGGTGAAAAACGCAAGAGTGAAGGGTCCCGGGTTTTCTATGAAGTAAGAATAAATGTTTCCGAGTCCCAGTCCCAGCAGATCGGTGCCAAAACAGAGGTGAGTCTGACCAATGTTTCTTCTCGTCATCCCAGGTTTCATATGGGCTTTGAATTTGTTTATTTCGGTCTCATATAATTAATTTTAGCTTGTCTATATATCTCCTCTGATCTTCTTGCGTTAAAGTGCTCATATACAGTGCTATTCGCCCACTGAGTCTTTTAAAAGTAGTCGTCGAATCCATGCTTCAATATGCGCCGCTCTGTCTTCTTGCCACAAAGCGAGGGGCGCATGCGCACGTGGGTGTAAACAAAGATCCTCCAATAGAATCAAACTCAGGACCTCCTTGCTGTTTATTTACATTTTCATCTACCGGGGGTCTCAGCTCACCTCATGGAAGACAGAAATGTGGGCTGTGGTCCTTTTGACAAAGAGAATGTGAGGGATTGTCATTGTAAACAGTGACACTTCTTATAGAGCAGTGGTTCTCAAAGTGTGGTACGCGTACCACGGGCTCCCTCTTGTGGTACGCCAAAGAATTACTGAAATAAATTGTAAACAAAATAATAAAACAATTATTGAACCAGGAAAGTCCCATTGAGATTAAGAACCTCTTTTTCAACGGAGTCCTGTACAAAAATTACATACAATTACGGATTATAAAACAGTCACATACAATTTCATAAAATTACCGATTATAAAAACAGTTGCATTTCAATGAGGATGTCTCAATTGCTCTCAATCTGGATCTAAAAGTATTCAATTAAATGAATTCTAATAATTTCCAGTCTTGTTGCAACACGTTCATGTAGAAGGAGCAGCATATACAAAAGATTTTTTTTCCCAGTTCTGTACAAAAGGAACAGAGAGCAACAAAAGATCATTTGATTGACAACCATATGAACATCTCTTTGCGTGAGTAAACGGCAGATGTAAGAGGGCAGCAGACCAAGCCATATAAACAAAAGTGCACCAGTGTCCACACCTTCTTTGGACAAAGATCCCACTCCAGAATATAATTCACAGTGAGTCAAGGCTTTGCAGTTCGTGATTAATTGAGCATTTTAATTTAATCATTATTTAAGCACAGTTTTTAGGTTTTTTTCCTATATTTAAGTCTTACTGTTGAAACTGTAAAATGTTACAATGGCTGACAATATTAAATATACTTTTTTAGGAATGAAACTTCTGCCTTGTTTTTGATGGATACTTAGGCTTACTACGCTACTGTATAGTGTTGGTCATTTGTGTTGGTACTTGGAGAGGCAAGTATTCTCTGAGGTGGTACTTGGTGGTTTTAAAATCGCTGCATTGGCTCCCCGTGTGTTTCAGGATCGATTTTAAGGTTCTTTTAATTGTCTTTAAATGTCTTAATGGTCTTGGGCCTTCTTATCTTTCAGATTTGCTTTTATCCTATGAACCTTCCCGGCCCCTGCGCTCCTCCGGCAGCAGACTCCTAACCATCCCCAAAGTCAGGACACACACTCACGGCGAGGCATCTTTCCAGCACTACGGCCCCCGTCTCTGGAACAGTCTGCCGGAGGAGCTCAGGGCCGCAGAGAACGTTCATATTTTTAAAAGTAGGCTCAAGACACACCTTTTTAGATTAGCTTTTGATTAGTATTTATTGTGTTTTAGACAAATCTTATTTTGGTTCTTATTTATTTATTTTATTTTATGTATTCTGTTTTGTCACTTATTAGGTTGCTGTTTTACTCTTTATTGTATGTTTTTAGTATTCCCAGTGTTTCCTCTGGAGGAGCCCTCTGCACTGGGAGCGGCGGTCTGCTGTGGCTGCGGGGGTCCGGCTTTTGGATCTAGTGGGGGCCTGGGGCCTCCTCTCTCCTCCGGGTCCTATGGGGGCCTGGTGGGAGGTCTGGGGCCTCCTCTCTCCTCTGGGTCCTGTGTCGTCCCCTGTGGCTGCAAGCGGCTCTCTGCTCCTGGTGCAGATGGCTCCCTCGATGGCGCTTCTTCAGCTGGATACATCCGCACCCAGCCCTATATCTTTTCATAGTTTTACCTATTTTATCTGTCTGTTGTGATTTTATATGTCTTTGTGTGTGTGTGTCTGTGTGTGTGTGTGTGTGTACGGGTATATGCATCTCGATGTATATATAATAATTAGGGTGGTTTATGGGTGGGTCTTTGGGGTTTATTGGGTATGTTGTATTGATTTTGACTCAACTGTAAAGCACTTTGTGTTGCATTTTATTGTATAAAAAGGGCTTTATAAATAAAGTTTGATTGATTGATTGATTGATTGGTGTAAAAACTGTTATAGAGGTATAATGCAATTCAATTTAATTCATTTATTTTTGTATTCCCCTAAATCACAACAGTAATTATCTCGGAGGACTTTACAAGCCATCAACTCACCGACACAGATCAGAAAATCAAACAGTTCAAACACAGGAAATGCAATCATCAAAAAATACGCACATTGAACCATTGGTCTTTAAGACCAATGTCCATACATTTTATAAAGTCCATGAATATCAAGTGTTTTTGGATCTGTGATGTCAGTGATCAACAGGCTAGCAGGGCAGACATAAAACATTCGCCCTTTGCTGGTCAGCTGTTGATTGCTGCAGCAAAGTAAACATTTGTTAGGGCTCTCTGAACAAGCAGAGATAGGCCTGAGCTCAATTGACAGCATCTCCTAAATTGTGTCTATGACGCCTGGTCCATCACGTCAAAACCATTATGAAGAAGATTGGAGGGATGATAACGTATTGAGCATTCAGTGATGGATAACCTTTTCGGGATATATAAGTGAATCCCTCGGTTTGTTACAGTGTAGTGCAGTCGTGGTCACTCTCAAAGGCATCATGTTTTTTTTTGCTCTGTTATACCTCACAGCCGTGCTTTGTTCAGCCAGACGGACTCATGCAGTTCCCCTGTATCCAGACTCCAGCGTGGAGCCACAGGCAGGTAGGACATCTGATTTATAAACTTGACAGGCTAAAACTATGAACTGTGACTGTTTACTTAGGACTAATGGAAATTAAATAATATAAAATTTGGGGGAATCACATGCTAAACTAATCTAAAAAGAAATGTACTGTATATATTATGAGGTGGGGTAATTAATTTGTGTGCATTGTACTTTCAGAATTTATTCAAAAGCTTGTGACAGAGGTAGAGAATGGAGACAACACTGCAGACGTGGAACAGAGAGAATTGAACAATCTGTTTCCTCTGGTTATGCAGCACAGCACTGGGAGAGACCCCTGGACCAAAGGTGTGACTTATCAACTTGCACTAAAAAAATCTAAATTTTACAAATTCAGGAAAAGTAACCATTCAATTTGTTTAAAGGAGTCAAAGAATTTGCCAAACAGGAAAGATATGCCAACATGGTGAGAATAATTCATAAATTGCTTTTCATGGATGAGAGATAAGGCTGTTCTATGCATGTATGTCTCATTGAAGGTGGAAGACTTGAAAGAAGTCGTTTTAAAGATGGCTGCTGCTGACAGGCTCCGCTCTCAGAGTTTTATAAGATCCGAGCAGAGCCTTCCAAAGACAAACAAGAGAGGTAACATACTTTAATATCAAATACAGGTTAGATCATAATAACTTGATTTGTTTCGTGCATTAATTCCACAGCGTGTTTCTGGAAATACTGTGTGACCAACTGAACACATAGAAGGATCTTAACAACCTTTTGGAAGATGCTTTCTTTCTTCAACTTTGTAGTTTTTCTTCATTAACTTTCTCTGAAAACTTAAAATATATTTTTTGAAGTTGTCCAGATGTCTTTTCTTGTGGCAAAAATAACATTTGAAATGAAACGTGTTTCTTGTTACGACAGCACTCATAATCACTGAAGAAAGAATAGTAACAGAAGATTTCTGCTGTACACAACATAACACATCATAATAAAACAATACACATAATTACACAATAAAAAAAACAAATAAAAAAAACTGGAGAAGGCGTTCGGCCGTGTTCTCCGGGGTGTCCTTTAGGGGGTCCTCCAGGAGTACGGGGTCCAGGGTCCTCCGCTGAGGGCCATCCAGTCCCTGTATGACCGGAATCAAAGCTGCGTTTGCATCAGCAGTAAGTCAGACCTGTTCCCGGTGCACGTTGGCCTCCGCCAAGGCTGCCCTTTGTCACTGGTTCTGTTCACTGTCTTTATGGACATAATTTGTTTGCGCAGCCAAAAGGCAAAGCTCTGAATTCACCTGTAAATCTTCATTCCCTCCCTCAACTACGGTCATGAACTTTGGGTAATGATCAAAAGAACGAGCTTCCTTCGCAGAGTGGCTGGACGCTCACTTAGAGATAGGGTGAGGAGCTCACTCACACGGGAGGAGCTATAGTAGAGCGACTGCTTCTCCACATCGAGAAGAACTAGTTGAGGTGGCTCAAGCATCATGTTCCGGATGCTTCCTAGACGCCTCCCGGTGTTCTGGGAGGAGACCCAGGGGGGAGACCCAGGACCCGCTGGAGGGACTAAGTCTCTCAGCTGGCCTGGAAACGCCTTGGGGTCCCCCCGGACAAGCTGGAGGTAGTGTGTGGAGAAAGGGAAATCTGGCTGTCTCTGCTAAGACTGCTGCCCCACAACCCGGCAATGGATGAAGCGGAAGTGGATGGATCAAAAAACAACTAAACTACAATGACAATCAATTGCACAATAGGCCTTTCCAGTGATGCTGGAAAAATGCTGAAACAAAGTTGCAGTGTAGTGACAAGCAAACCAGCACCTCCCAGCTGTTGCTTTTAGTTAATGCCTAATACAAAAAACAAGCTTTATTTTCTTTTTGTCACACCAAGGTAAGCCTTCTCTATCTCAATATCAGCAGGACAGGTCTGTTTGAACTCCTCCCTTTCATAGGCATTCTGTAGGTAGCGCCACACACCAGTGAACTCTGCCGGTATCTCAAAGTCACAGTATTTCTTGGCAGCAACCTAAAGAAATAGGAAAATAAGTGAGAAATGAAATACTAACATTCTAACGTGAATGCAGAACATTCACGTTAGAGAACATTCTATCCGTGGATCTATGGAGAGCTTTTAGTGGAATGTATTCATCTTCCTTGTAAAGTACTCACTAATAAAAGTAAATGGTATACATGTACTTAAATGCCATACTGCATATGACATGGCCAAGACATTACCGTATGTCAAGAAAGTGACAAATCTTCCTGGAAATTTTATATTAAGAATATATTATTGCTTTAGACACTAATTGAAGAAAATCACCATCATGAGAATATGCAATAAATATAAGTTTTCCTTAAAAAACTATTATTCATGCAATAATAGTTAAAGACATTAAAATGACTGACCCTGATCACATGTAGTTTTGGCAGTAGGTTGCAGTCTGCCAGTGTCAGACAATCCCCATCCAAAAACTTTCTTTTGGAGACGATGACATCACTGGAGTTTTGGTCAAGCAGGGGTGAGTTCAGATATTTATCCAGGCGCTTAAATTCACGTATAAGGTTTTTCTGCTGGACTATACAAAGAAACGTTTGAAATAATTAATAATCATTAACCAGGGAAGTGTATAGTCTAAAGAGTGCCTGGTGTTACAGCAGTCTTCCATCTGAGTACTATTAAGGCATTCCCCTGCTTAGCCTCATAAATCTTTGGCTTTGACCAGCAGCTATGGAAATAAATACATCAACAAATTATGAGGACTTACGTGTATTATTTGGACTATTCTTAATGAAAGCTGAAAACTTTGCAAAAATGTCTGCTCCCACATCAAATGATTCTTTATTTATGGGACTGAGATGAGGATATCTGTGGAGGATAAATACAGATTTTGAGGAACACACAATAATAATTGTATCCTTAATATAATGTATTGCATCAATACCTTGGTGGGGAAAGAGTTTGCTCCAGAAACTCTTCAATTTTGATGAAGTCAGTCTTGAGGGTGCCATTGTAGAGAAGGAACGGAGGGTTGGTCCCAGGAGCTAAGTCTTTCAGCTCTGCTGGTTTTCTGGTGGACATAGGGACAATATTGTAGTCAAAGAAAACTCAAATGTCAAGGTCAAAAGTGTAAATGGTATTTGACTTATACTGTATGTAGTGTACTGTATGAAAACATTCTTATGGGAGGGGTCTGTGCCTGCTGAATCATCCAGCTATATCTACATCCTTTGAAAGTTCCTGATCTTATTTACTTCTAATGAGCCAGTGAAATTCACACAATACACGCTCAGTATAAGACACCAGTTGTTTGTGAGAAACACAGCACTCTTTGTACAAGGCAAATCAACAACCTCCTGTTAAAAGTTGTGGTAAATGGAAGCAGGACACCTTTTGGAAGTTTACGAGAAAAAACAAATCTATATTTCCATTCAAAGAGGTTTGTGTGAAAGTCCCTGCCACCAGATGCTCAGGAAGTGTGCTTTTGCCTGGGGAGGGGGTGATGCGGGGGACTCACTTCCTCATGTCAACGGTGGTCACTGTAAACTTTGCTCCTTTGAGCCACAGGACCATGAAGAGGCGCTGGCAGAAGGGGCAGTTCCCCACGTTTTCGCCATCGTGTCCAGCCTGAAAATGAAGCACAGGAAAGGCATTTGAACTTCACAAATCCTTAAAGTCATCTGTGTTCCATTTGCTGATAAAGGCAGATATAGCCTTGCATGCCAAGAATGTTTGGCATTGAAAAGCGTTGATGAACATTTTGTGTGTTTCTGTTTATTTCAATGTGCGTAACTGCACATAGAAAATTAAAAAAAACATCATGACTTGAATTTTATTATTGGTAAATTTACGCCAACCAAAACAAGAATGACCTCCGAAAGAATCTTTTTCGGAGAGAACACCACATTACTCTTTAATACTCAATAATCACCCAGGACTTCATTGGAAAAATGAAGGCCCTTTGGCATCAATATCTTTACTCTATGTACTTGTAACTATATTTATGAGATAACAGAAACTAAAAAAATGGAAATGTAGCAACTGAATAGCCATTAAATTGCATTAAAAATTGAGCTAAAATATATAAAAATAACGGTTTTCTTTTCTCAGTAATAGTAGTATTTATAGGTGGGTGTGCCCAGTCCCACGGGGCCAATCGTCACCCCCACCTCCCCCCTTAGACTCATCGTAGTACTGACTGTGGCCAGATAAGCCAGGCCCTGAGCCAGCTATGCTCCACTGATAAATAAATAACCCAAAAACATAAACATTTCACACCTGCTGAAAAAAAGGCTTTGAAGAAGTAACTTCAAACGTTTTTTTTAATAAATTAAATCAGAGTGAACACATTTTTCAGTCAGCAAAATGTTCTTGTATAATATAAACAAAAACTTACCTTGATGAACAACTCAATACTTGGCTCCTTGTCAGAGTTTTGTCTCAGCGCCATGGTGTCCTCTAAAAGTGTTTCTCAATAGAGTTTGTGAGGAGATAAAAAGCTAAACCAATAATATAGTTTATAGTTTTAATCCTGGTTGCACTTGCCTGTTGGCTGGGAGCTCCTTGGAGACTGTCACAGCGAGCATACTTCACAAGTCAGGAAAAAGAGGGAGGATCCAAAACGCTGAAAGAGAAATTGGGCGGGCGTACTAGCTTATATATTGTAGTCAGAAAAGCTCAAAATAGAACCAAAGCTGAATGCTACGTGCAGGAACTACAGACAAATGACACAACTCATTAGCCTCAGAAACAAACTTTAAAAAGGTGTACGTTTAGACACCGACCTTTAATGGGACGGGGATGACAGCTAATCCGATTGTGCTCAAGGGGAGACTGTCAAGGTGAAGAAGTACAAACTCTGAACAAATAACTGCTTGATCTATCTTACTTTGTGTGTAGTGAGTCTTGTATTAGTTTTACATTGTAAGTTTAATAACAGTACTGGAGTTTTTCACCTGAAGATAAGATGAGTGTACAAACAAGCTTTTTCATTTCATCGTTATTTTTTTCCTGCTTGACCTGTGTATGTCTTTCTGTGTATGAGCTTCTGTGCATGAGGTTTTTTATTTGCTCGGGAAGAAAATACATTTGTTAAAACAAGGAAGATAAAAGAAAGAATTGCATTGTTTTGTAACTTTTCTTCTACCTTGATAATATTCAGCATACCACTGATGGCCCAAATATCCCATGAGAGCTTGCAGGTCAATATGGGTCATTCAGACAGGTTGTACATAAACAATAAAAATTTTCGGTAATTTTAAGTAGATAGAGATACAAATGTACAAAATAAATATACCAGACGAGGATTGGTCAAATTAGATGTATGGTATGATTATGAAATATTTTAAAGTTTTAGGCTAACCGAGAAATTCCTTTAGAGTCATTACTGTATGTTGACATTTCTTTGCAGGAGTTTCTCTGGAGAATGAGTGGGGAGTGCTGGACTTTCTGCCCTTTCAACAGAACGATATTATAGCTCACAGTAATAGAGTTTCCTTACAGTGATGGCAAGTATGCTCTATTTTTCACTTTTGAAAAGGGAACAACAGTGTTTGTAAAAGAAGTAAAAGAGGTTGACAGGATACTGGACAGTGGAGATTTCCTGGTGAGTATTCCTGGTTGCTGACCAGCTCTGGACCTCTTCCATGTGACCTCTGCTCTTCCCATTTAAAGTGAAAATAGGAAAGACTGGTATCATGGAGCTCCTATTCTGTATATCTGTTTGGGACACGCAGGCAGCAGCTGGAAGGTTCAATGGAAACAAGTATCTTACCTCCACAAGCAGGATTAAATTTTTGGCTTTACTCGATATTGTGTAATGAAATAGGCTATCATGTTCCCTGTAAGATAAAGCAAAACAAGTAAGCGCTTTGTCAAATTGTTTTGAAATTTACAGTTATGTGGAATTTAAATTACGTAATGTACAAATATTTGGGTTCAAATTGATAATTACTATTTGTCCCACGCATGTATTTTTGACCTCTGTCACAACAGCTTTTTCAGTGGAAAACATTTACCAGCCCTCACTCAGCCAATCAGCTCTCAGTATGTAAAACGATGAAGACAGCATATTGTGGTCTGATTTGTTCACAAAATGTTACTCATAACTGAACTGTTGGAACATAATAAATGTATTTAACACTACTGTCTTTAATTATTAAGCCAACTATCCAAACTCATAGTGGTGTATATTGACATGAGTTGGTATAGTTTATCGTATAAACTACTATGGAGAATTTGTTTCAAACTTTTTTTAGTTTTGGCCTTCATGGCAGCAATTTTTCAGTTGTGGATTTCTCGGTAAATGGGGATGTTGTTTTCCAAGAACACAAAAGCACCATTGACCACTGACTCCATGAGCTCCAGTTCTTACAGCAACACTGTAGTTATCATGGACGTTATAAGGAGAACTCCATGTCACCCCTGGTGGCGTTTCATTTTGATCGTCATTATACTCAGTCTGGAAACCCAACTTATATCATCAGCGCCTGACTTCACAAGTAAGTTATTTTTATTAGTGAGGTGCTTTTGTACTTCTATAAAGGACGCTGAAAGATGCTAAACTTGTTTCCCAATGTCTGACATCCTTCCTGTTCAACCCAGCTAGTGCAACTTATCTCAAGACACATGTAGTTTAAAGCTTGGGTACCTACTTTTCAAAACACATACAAGATGGACCAATGGAGTCAAATCCCACAAACGATTTCCAAAAAAGTTCAAAGCTGTTTGGTACATGCACATCTTTTTAGTCTGATAAGATTGAAAAGATGACTTTTACAATACTCATTCTGTTGGGGAAAGTACAATCCGTTGTTTGCAAAGATAGAAAAGTTAGATACCCGAAAAAACTTACCAATGATTAAACGCAATGATATGAGACGTTGTGTTTTTATTTCTTTTCTGATACAACATTTACTTTGATATTTGCTCTTCACTTAGAGCCAAACACTTTCACCGTAAGTTTTCAATAGGCTCATTGTAAGCACGAGCCTGGGGCTGGCTCTCGTTGTCTTGGAGCTCCCCTACAAACTCTGACACACTGTTGATGCAAGAACAGGAAGCATAGAAGGGAGGGGAGACACTCTCGCATGTATGTGCTCTTGGTCCAAACATTGTCTCAAAAAGAACTACACCCAATGAATCAGGCTCCATCCAGACAACAATCACATCCAGCCTGCATTATTCCTAAATATCTGATAAGGACAGAAAGCGAATGACATCAATGTTTTTTTCACTATGCAGTTGAAAAAATATTTAAAATATAAATATAATCATCTGTTTTTAGAGCACCTTCACTCTATCCTGAGGAACCACACTGCCTTTGCTTGTGAAAATCACATCCTCTCTATTGTGTGTCCACCCCGGACATCTGTATCTGTCCTGTCTGCCTTCTATGGACGCCATGAAGTCATCCCAAATCTCTGCCCTTCTGTCCCAAACAACACAGTGGAAGAGAACATCCATTGCACCTCTGCAGTTGCCATTGAGGTATAGGAGGTGCTCAAAGTGTGATAAGAAAACAGTCTTTAAGAGGACCCGCATTTCTCTTTTCAGCGATTTACTCTGTAAGCCATTTACAGGTGAAATACAGGATATCATTAAAAGTTCATTCATTTTTGTGTTCAATTTGAAATGTGAAATCATTATATCACAGAGTCATTTAATGTAAAGTGACATATGTCAATTCTTTGTTATAATTTATGATTACCTTTTATTTGGGGTTTTTAAAATGTGTATGTTAACAGAAAGTTAAATCCGAGTGTCAAGATCGGCAGTCCTGTCATGTCTCTGTTTTGAGCCTGTTTTTGGGGGGAGACCCGTGCCCACTCACTACCAAATTTCTTCAGGTCTCATACAAGTGCCAGCCACGTATGTCTCAGCATAATGAGTTATGCTTTATAGAGAATTGTACACAACAATAATTGTTTCTTGTTAAGTCAAAACAATCTATTTTAAATGTTTCCCTTAGAGCATCACCGGACTCGTCTCGTGTGTGAAAATGGGCGTCTGAAATTGCTTTGCAAAAACAGCACAGTTCTTGCAATATATTCTGCTACATTTGGACACATGCTGCATGGAAGCCCCAGCTGCCCCCCGGAGGCAGGATCTCACTCGGACATGGGTCAGATTTTTCTCAATCATTTGTGTTGACTTCCACTGTCTCATCAAATACTCAATAACCTTATGTTGATGATAGAACGAAGTAAATACATTTATTATAGAGTGCATGTCCTCCACGGCTTTGAGGAAGGTTTCTCGCAGATGTCATGGGAAAGAGAACTGCTCATTGGTGGCAGATGTCATGACTTTCGGAAACCCCTGTTTTCCTGGGACCAGGAAGCACCTGCGAGTGTCCTTCGCTTGTGGTGGGTAAAATAAATGACTTTTGATTGAATAATTTTTTTGATATTGAATGTTTATTCCTCATTACTTTCTAGTGCCCCGTTATCTTTTGGAAGATGTAGGATTTGTATCAAGAGATCCCTTTATGATCCCAGACTATACTCATGGTAAGAATGATCTTTTCAGATTTTCTTGATAACTATGGAATGCATCATAACCCACATTATAGTTACATAAGTTTGTATTCACTCTCTGGGAATGTTTGATCAAATATGACATTTACAAATGCACAATCTATAAGGTCTACAAAATAAACTAATTGTGAATGCAATACATTTCAATAATTATTGAAACACTAAATCCACATTTATTTACAGATACATTTTCATGGTAGTGAATCAAGCTTTCTGTTTAGTTTAGTTTTTTTCAAAATTTCACATTCATCATGTAATTCTTGTCTTCATATGTTTTGTCAAAATGATATTATTGTGATATTTTAATAAATACGGGTCAAATAATGCATTTGGAAATGTTGTTACTAATTATTGTAATATTCTATACAGATTTTCCTGAAAAAGTGGTGTTGTACTTTGTCTCTGGCATCTGCGCTGGTCTGGTGTTTCTACTGTGCATCTTTGGTCTTCGTTCAATGGCCACACTTCTCACAGATGTTACACAAATCGTCTGTAATTTCAATGCTGAGCTTTGCAACAAGAAAAACAGCCTAGAAGAACTCTCAGACAATTCATCTTCCTGTCACCTGTGGACTCATGACATCCACAGTTCTTCTATCGTGACCTTGTCTCAACCAGAAGTTTAGCAAGAGCTAAACTGGTCAAGACTGCAGCCTATGGGCCTCTTCACATTCACAGCAGCATGTATTATTATGTTACACAAAAAAAAGTTGTCAACAAAATATTTGTCATTGGCAACTGGCCACAATTGGCTTTTTGAACAATTGTACTTTAAATCAATAAACATTATGTCAACTTGTATTTTATCTGTGTAATACAAGCCTAATGGGCTAAAAGGGTGTAACTAATATTAACCCCTACATGATTCCAGCTTTTTTCCTCCCATAAGTAGTGGAAGAATGAGACACCCTCAGTGCAAGAAGGAGCGCTACCGCAGGGCCTTTATCCCCACCGCTGTCAGACAGTACAATAAGTCACTTTAAGTCACTTTTACTAGGACTGAAAAACCTGCACTACTATTGACACTGTTTCTTGATTACCACTTTGGATTGCCACTTTTTATTGTACATAATATATCCTGCATTTCACATGTCTGCACGTTTCTTTCTTTTGCACAAGCTTGAGTGTTTCTATCCATGCCAGATGTGATATGTAAATTTATCCTGTATGAGATCAATAAAGTCGATCTTATTTTATCTCAACTCCAAGTATATATATATATGTCCATGTCCATGTCCATGTCCTTCCTTGGCCTAAAACAAGTGCTCTTTATAATAAGTCTAGATAGCAATGGCAAATTTGAATGCCATCTTTATTCTGAAAAACCTTGCACCGGAAGTGGTTCCAAATCAGGTCAAGTTACCGGAGATAGCTCTCTAGCTAGCGATACGCCTTCTTGAGGAATATCGGCAAAATAATGTAGCGATGTAGATGTAGGTAGTTTTGGAAATCCATTACAACAGTAGTCGATCGGATGGCGGATATTTCGAGGTTATAACTCAAGGTCAGAATCTGTGGTTATGGCTAAAGCTTGTTTTGTAGATAACCTCGCCCACAGGCTGCTGTCATTAGCTGCTTATTAGCCAGAGCCAAGACGTCTCCAACTTGAACGCTTTAACACATCTACTGTAACATTCTGCAATATATAACGATTAAAAGATACATTCGTACCACAGAAGTGTCGTCACACAACCTTTGCCGTGAGACATGATGATAATGAAAGTTAAGCAGCTTCCGCTTCAATGTAGATTATTTGAAGACATGGTTCCTCCTGAATACACTAGATTTCCCGTATGTTTTTGATTGTGTCTATTTAGCTGTTGTGCCAGTGGCTGAAATACTTTCAAAAGCGCTAAACCTTATCTTTAGAGGGATTAAGGATGTAAACAAGAGTGCTATGGTGGTGTGCAGTGTCTTGTGACCAGTCGGGCTGGTCAGCAATAGTATGTATGGCATGGGTCACATTTATTCTATGGAAGCACTGTCACTTATATAGAATTAATTGTCAAGTTAGATCATTCAGGCTATTCAAATAGTATCACAGGACAGATTTGCATAGAAATCATTCTAAGATTGTTTGTTTTGTGGAAAAATATGTGAACTCTGAACATTGCAAAGACCGTTGGGTCACCTTGGTCTGTAAAAAGTGATATATAAATATTCGTTACTTACTTGCTCACTTTTTGTGAACTTTTGTTATGCTTTAGCTTATTATAACCACATTCTCTCACTATTTCTAGAAGCGGAGGTGGCTCCTGCACCCCAATACACGGCAGTCACTCTCTATTCGGAGTCTAATTTAGTTGTTAATTTGTTGTGCAGGTGAAGGACGTACAGAAGAGAAACCATCAGGATGGCTGGTTCTCAGTGGGAACTTCCCCCTGAGCTTTGCTGCCGCCCGATGGCCTTTGTGGCTCTCACTGGATTGGATGTTGTGTACAATGCTGTCCACAGAGCCATATGGGATGCCTTCTGTGCTAATCGTAGGGCAGACAGAGTTCCCATATCCTTCAAAGTCCTTCCAGGAGACCACGAGTACCCCAAGTGTCGCACCAAGGTAGGCAGCTCGGATGGCCCCTCCATAATTTATGCAGTTTGTCAGGCCTGCGTGTATGTTACATGTGTCACCCTATTATACTGTAAAGAAAGTGTCACTTTTTCTTCTAGCGTACTTCATATGAATGGTACATCCCCAAAGGTATCTTAAAAACTGGTTGGATGAACAAACACCTGAATCTAGTACCAGCTCTGGTCGTTCTTTTCTACGAGTTGGACTGGGAGGATCCTCAATGGAAGGAAAAACAATCTGAATGTGCAACTAAAGTGGAAATTGTCAGGTATGCTACTGTTGTTAGTTGCACCATATTTCGTAGTAACTTTAAATGAGTTACATGTATATATTTTTTATATCCTTCTACATATATAAATGCATATAACCATTTTGTTTCATAGAACCAGTCTCCAGGGTAGAAATACCAAAGTTGCTGTAGTTCTTATTCAAAAGAAAACCCCTTTGCCTCCAGGTAGAGTTGTTTCTTAACTTAATTTAGGTTATTGGTCAATGCCATAAAAATAAAAAAAATTTCATAATATCTTAGGGGAAGACCTTGTTGCATCTGAGCGGGCATCTGCACTTTGCAACGCTTGTGATCTCTCGGGCAAGAGTTTGTTTGTACTGCCACACACGGATCATCTAGTGGGCTACATTATTAGGTAATTGGATTTTCTGTTTTGTAAATCGCTTGTTTTTTTACTTTATTTTTGTATTTATGATTCTCCAGGCTAGAGAACGCTTTCTATGAGCATTCTCAGACTTATTACTACACTGAGATCCGTCGCGTCAAATCTCACAAAGAGTTCCTGAACAAAACAACACATCAAGTATGAATTTTTTGCTTCAGTTTTTATGGTAACTAATAATAACTAAATATTTTTGATTGTTACAGCTTTTGTTTGTCAGACACCAGTTCAAAATCGCCTTCTTCAGTGAACTAAAGCAGGACACACAGAATGCTCTCAAGTAAGTTTGTTTTTCTTCAAAATCTGTGATGTTTATCGTAATGTCACCATTTATGGTATACTCCTTTAGGTACTATAGAACTGCGTACAGTCTTATTCATGAGCTCAGAGCACACGAGACAAATATGTTGGAAATCAAAACAATGGCTGGATTTATAAACTATAAGGTGAGAGGAAGCTAATTATCTATTATTGTGCTGAAGTATAGGATTTTGAGGTTTTGTTTTTTCTCTTCCCAGATATGCCGCTTGTGTTTTCAGCATAACACACCTCTTGATGCTATTGCACAATTTAGGAAACATATCGACTTGTGTAAGAAAAAAATAGGTAGTGCCGAACTGGCCTTTGAGCATGCAGCATGGATGTCTAAACAGTAAGTTTATCACTACTGTAGACTTTTTAACAATTTAAATCTACACTTTTTACTTTGCGTTTACTCTAATGCATAATTTTAGATTCCAGTCATTTGGTGAGTTGTTTGATGAAGCCATTAAATTGGGTTTGACGGCCATCCAAACTCAGAACCCGGGATTCTACTATCAACAGGCTGCATGCTACAGCCAGGACCGAAAGCAACAGGCTCACCAGCTCTGTCAGGTACAAATAATAAACTAGAAATGGGAATAATGTTCTCCATGCATGCATTCATTTGTGTATTGTTTTCTAATAGACTGAAATAATCTATCCTACGACCGACCCCTTGAGTGGGACCCTGGACTTCTATGGTCAAAGATCCTGGAGACAAGGCCACCAAAGTATGTAGCTGGACCAGAAACAGACATTTTGTCATCTAAATCCTGTCTATTGTAGATAAAATATTTTAATATTCTTCTAGGCATTGACCCTCCCGATACAGAGAAAGAGAAGACGGGGATACTAGCGCTGCAAATCAAAGAGAAAGGAGTTCCTCACTCGGTTCGCACAATATTCTGTATAATATATAAATATTTACAACATGCGCAAAACACAAATGTGTTTGATCTCTGCCCTGACAGGAGCTGATTATAGCTCTTTTAAGCAATGCAGTGGCCCAGTTTAAGAAGTACAAGTGTCCTCGAATGAAGAGCCATCTAAGTAAGGACGTAACATTTAAATATTCAGCTTGATACATTTGTTCACAAAGTAAAGTGTCTCTGCTTCTCAGTGGTTCAAATGGGAGAGGAGTACTACCATGCAAAAGACTACACCAAAGCTCTTAAGTAAGAATGCTGTAATTATGTACAATTCTGCATAGAATTACCAGTAATTGGTGCGTGTAGTAATTACATGTGTTGGATTTATTAGGTTGTTGGACTACGTCATGTGTGACTATCGCACTGAGAAGTGGTGGGGTCTTTTGACCGCCATCCTCACCACAGCTCTGCGGTGTGCTTACCTCATGGCCAGTGTTAAAGACTACATCATCTACTGTATGGAACTGCTAGGACGAGGTAAGAAACCACACCCGAGTCCCTGTACAAAGATTTAATTTAAACATTTTTAAAGTGCATGAAGCAACGTGTTTTTCCCTTTGAGATATTACATAAAGCAATTTACACATGCATATCAGTTTAAATATTCATGTACCATAATTAAAGAACTTAAAGTGCCTATTTTACTATGTTTTTTGGGTTCTTTTTGACCTAAGACTATATTAACTTTTTCCTATCGTTTACAATTTATTGTTTCTAATGTAACTAATATTCCTATTAAACTCTTTATTTTTTTTATTTTTCTAGCATCTACCTTGAAGGAGGAACAGAAATTAAAGATTGAGAAGAATCTTACCAAAGTTTTACAGGTAAATACACTTTGGAATCAAAATATGTAATATTAAAACAAAAATGATTTTCTTGCATGGCCCTTTCCAAATGTGCATCTTTGGTTAGAATGAGGTTCCAGACGCAGAGCTGGAGTGCGACCCCTCGTCTGTCAGTGCAGCAAAGTCACTGTGGGGCGACCGCATGGCGCTGGCTGGAGCCAACGAGGTCACAATCGAAGTGCAAGACTACATTCCATTCAGTAAGTGACACTTTTTTACACACACATTCAATAAAGCCACAGATTTTTCACCTTCCCCCCTTCAGTCCAGTGCAAAGCCAAGTTCCTGTCCCCCAGTTTCCATGTCGACCAACCCATCCAGCTGCAGGTGTTTCTCAAAGCCGACGGCCCCAATCCTGTGTCTTTCAGCAAGTTGGCTGTCAGCCTTAGCAACCAGGTGCACTATACTATACAATATTCTCATCATCATACTATTTAAATGGTCTCACTTAACAATTCAACATTATAATTGCCATTCACATTTCATCTTCATTTAGGAATACAACCAGTGGTGTATTATTGAATCTTCCAGTCAGAATACCATGAGCCTTGTGCCAGGGAAAACCAAGTGCTACAACTTTAGCTTTGTTGCCAAAACTGAAGATGTCGGCAAGAAGATAGAGGTAAGCATTCTCAGAATGTATTCAATGTTTTTAGTAGTTTTGTGCTTTTTATGATGTCCTTCATTATTATTTTGTACTGGAATAGAGTAATGAGCTCTAATATAAGCATGTTTATGTTTTAGATGACTGGGATTGAGCTGTTGCTGGGCAGTGTGAGAGGCCGTTGTGTTTTTCTGACCTGGAGAGGAGCCGGAGGAGACATCGCATCCCCACATGAAGCGCTGCAGGCGAGTCGGTCTTCACGACGATGGGGGCGTAGTCTCGAAACTCAGGAACAGGACTGGGACAATGTGACTCTTCAGCACAGTACAATGTAAGCTGATTTTGTGCAACATATCCCGGAGTAGAAGTTTACATCCTCTAGTTTTCAATTGCCTATATTGCCCCTTTAATGTCTATGACAGTTTGGAGTCTTTTTTGGTAGTGGAGGAGGTTCTTTATCCTCTCTGTTGGTAAAGGGTAACTTTACCAACAGAGCCTATCTGGCGTCTCACAACCGCGAACTGGGATCATTCACAATCTCCAAACATGGCCATAACAATGAACAGAGCAGGACAGATAAGATCAAAGTGTTACCATGTCTAATATGTATTTTTTTTTTCTTAGGATCATCTCCAGAATTCCCAAAATCTCAGTACAGCTCAGCCATCAGCCTCCAGTGCTCAATAATGAAATGTACTGCCTCAATGTCACTATTCGATCACAAGAAGAAGGCGTGGCCAAAGACGTGAAACTGACTGCGGGTTTAAAACCAGGTAGAACAGATGGCTTCATGCATTTTTTGTTTTTCTCAGACTGAGAAACATGTTTAATAGTTTGCGTTTTCCTCTCTTGGCGTTTGCTATAGGTCAGGATGCCAATCTCAGTCAGACGACACATGTTGCTCTTGAGGGCTCAAAGATTTGTGAAGACTCCGCAGCAGCTTTAATTCCTGACATACTGTTAGGAGACTTGAATCCAGACCAGAAGGTAAACTACAAACAAAACCAATTGCCTTTTACATTTCACAAACTGATTAAATTTAATCTTTTATAGCTTGAGAAAGGCATATTTGTCAGGTGTTCAACAACGGGGCCTAGGATATTTCTGTTTCATGTTGCATACTTCGTTGATACGACTGTGGAAGGAAGACAGATTGTCTGCAAATGCCACAAGGTTCTGCCCCACAGTTCAGCTCGCTAATTAGTTTATGTTGTTTTCTAATGTTTATTTATTTGCTCACTTTTTAGGATGAAATTGTCACAGTGGAGACCGTCGTCCCATTTGAGGTGTCTGTGAAGTTTGTTTCAACTAAGGTGTGTAGTGGACCAAGACATTATTTCTTTAAATACATTTATAATAGTACTATTGAGCAAATTGATGCATCCACTCACTGATTTGTACATTTATATATTAATTCATAATTGATGGTCACCGATCATGATTTCTCAACGTAATAATCATTGACTGCTTCTTTTAGAAGATCGGTATCAGTGATTGATCTCAAAAATCCTGATTTTCATATCCATCTACATTATAGCGGTCACCTTTTTGTTGTAATATATTGTTTTTGGTTAATGTTGAGATGAATACTGTGCATATGAATAATAATAATAATATATGAATATATATTATTACATATATCTTTGGCGAAAGCTCAATATGTCTGAAATAAATAATTACACATGATTGGTTCTCAGTTGGAGCCTCTGGAGCGGGTCTCGATGGACATCCCCTTCCTCCTCATGACAGACGTCATCTCATCTTCTCCGTGGCCGATCTTGTTGTCCTCCTCTTCCTTGGAGCTTTTCAGTTTGACCAGCACATCACCAGATATGAAGTCACAGTTGGAGCAAAGTAATTCATTATTCAAACCAATGTTATGTTCAATCCAAGAAACCTTTGTCTGTCTATGCGTTAATGGTGCTCATGTTTTAACAGCGGTTCTGGAGACTGGAGAAGGTGCTAGCGAGTGCTTCTGTCTGTGTTGTCCACCTGTAATCGACAACAATAACGCCATAGCAACAGGACAGTACTCAATAGCATGGCGGAGGTAGTAACCTAACCTATATCTCATCCTCATTTATACATGTATGTTCCTTTAATTAAACATCATCAAGTGACAAATTACATTCTACATTTCAGGGGGTGGGGAGAGAACTATAACAATTAGTTCAATAGTCACTTAGAAAACAACAATGATAATAATATTGCATCTGTTTTATTGGTTTCACTTTTATGGACACTCAAAATCACTTCACATTGCGTTCTTAATTGATAAACTACTACTGAGCCACAGCTTCCCTGAGCCCTCTGGTCACCACCAATCACTCTTGCACACACCAACCCACATATTAGACAATTTTCTTGCCTAAGGACAAAACAACAGCTCAGCACTTTACAGCCGCAGCTGTTCCACGTGTGAAGTATGTAGTTTGGTCATGGTCAGATTCTTGAGATGCTTGATAAGGCAGAGCTGGAAAAAGATCTTTAACATATCCTGTCATGTACTGAGGATGACGTCAGCACGTCATACGTTATTCCCCTGAGTAGGGATGTAAGGTGCGTTCTTCTACATTGACCAGCATGAAGTAAAGCCACGGAAAACTATGCTCCGGTGTGTGTCTGATTTAATTCGATTACACAAAGTCAAAGTGTAACATTGGCGACGAGGATAATAATCGACTTCGTATAGTTAAATCTGAAAGTGAGATTAGTCCGTATCTTCGAGATGGAGGACAAATCATCCGTGCCAAAGTTTGATTGCTACAAGGAGCCAGCTACGCTAGGTCCTCGCTGGACCAGGTGGCTAACGGCGTTTGAACTGTTTGCTGACGGGAAAGGTTTAATCTTGGACGCAAGGGTCACCGACAACACAAAGATTCGGAGACGTGCTTTACTCCTACATCACGCCGGGACGGATGTGCAGGATATTTTTTCCACTTTGGACGACACTGGAGGTTCGTCGGACTATGACAAGGCTGTGAAGGCGCTAAACGACTACTTCGTACCAAAGGTGAACAATGCATTTGCACGCCAAACTTTCTACCAACTGTCACAGAATGCAGGGGAGACTGTACAGCAGTTCGTAACCCGTTTACGCCGGACGGCAAAAGACTGTGCATTTGGGGGCGACTTGTCTAACCAGCTCAGGGATGCTGTGCTAAGTAAATGCTCGTCGGAGTATGTGCGGAGGAAACTGCTCGAGGAGGGCTCGGCGTTAGTCCTCGACAAAGCACTAGAGATCGCGGCACAGTGTGAGAGGGTGGAGGAACAGATGGCGGCAATGCGAGTGAACGACACAGACATCAAAGGCGCCGAGGCGGTGAACCAAATCTCGAAGAGGAGAGGAGAGCGGGGCAAATTCCGAAGACGCGAGGGAGAGGAGAAAGGCAAAGTCTGCTTCTGGTGTGGACATGGCGACCACTTCGCGAAAGACCAGAAATGCCCAGCTCGCGGACAAACCTGCAGACAGTGCAACGGCAAGGACCACTACGCCAAGATGTGCAAGTCAAAAGGTAGTAGGGGGTCAGTGAAGTATGTAGATGAAAAGCAGGAAAAAGATTTTGCGTTTGTTGTGCGTGACAATAGCAACACAGATAGCCTGACATTTAATGTGGGTGGCGTGGACCTAGTAATGTTGATTGATTCAGGGGCCACGACCAACATAGTTGATGAAAATACATGGGAAGGGCTGAAGAAAAAGAAAATTAATTGTGAGTCAGCCAAATCCGACAAGAAATTGTACACATATTCCTCAAAGGAGCCACTGCCGGTAAAGGGAGTGTTCACATGTGATGTGAAGATAGGCAAAAGAGCGACACAAGCAGAGTTCACAGTGATCGCAGGCCAGGGTGTACCGCTACTTGGCAGGCAGACAGCTACAGAGCTAGGAGTGCTAAGGGTGGGTGTAGGTGTTGCAGCAGTCACCGATGTTAAGACAGAGGTGCAAGGAAAATACCCAAAGTTATTCACAGGGGTGGGTAAGCTTAACACTAAGCAAGTTAGACTGCACATCGACGGCAACGTGGAGCCCGTAGCACAGCCGCTGAGACGGGTACCATTCCACCTGCGGGAGGCGGTCGATAGGAAGATCGAGGAGCTGCTACGAATGGACATCATCGAGAAAGTGGAGGGTCCAACGCCATGGGTGAACCCTGTCGTAGTGGTGCCGAAGGCAAAGGACAAAGACATTCGCTTATGCCTGGACATGAGAATGGCAAACAGGGCAATCATCCGGGGCAGGTACCCGATCCCGACCGTTGATGAACTGTTGCATGACATGAACGGGTCAGCTGTGTTCAGTAAGCTCGACCTGCGGTGGGGCTACCACCAGCTGGAGCTCACTGAGGAGTCAAGGGCGATCACAACATTCGCCGTACACAGCGGAACATACCGCTACAAGAGACTCATATTCGGGGTCTCGTCTGCGAGTGAGCAGTATCAGTACGAGGTGGCATCGGCGCTGACAGGCATCGAGGGAGTGGCCAACATCTCCGATGACATCATCGTCCATGCACCTGACCACGACACGCATCGCCAGCGACTACATGCAGTGCTGGAGAGGCTGGAGAAGTGCGGCTTAACCCTGAACGGTGAGAAGTGTCAATTTGAGATGGACAAATTAGTGTTCATGGGCATCTTACTGACTGAAAAGGGAGTAGGGCCTACCAGTGAGCGAGTCAGAGCCCTGGAAGAGGCGCGTGAGCCAGAGAACGCATCAGAGGTACGCAGCTTTCTGGGTCTAGCTGGGTACAGCAGCCGTTTCATACCCCAGTTTGCGACCATCTCAGAGCCGCTGCGGAGGCTGACAAAGAAAGAGGTACCGTTCGTCTTCGGGCCAGAGCAACAGGTGGCGTTCGAGACACTGAAACTGAAATTGGCAGAGGCGGGAACGCTGGCATACTTTCACAAAGATGCCCCCACCAAAGTGATAGCTGACGCAGGCCCGGTGGGCATAGGGGCAGTTCTAATCCAAGAGCAACAGGGTGCTATGGTGCCTATATGTTATGTAAGCAGGAGCCTGACAGACTGTGAAACGAGATACTCGCAGACGGAGAAAGAGGCCCTGGCACTGGTGTGGGCATGCGAGCGTCTACACCCATACATATACGGCAAGAGGTTCGACTTAGTGACTGATCACAAAGCCCTACAGGTGATCTACAGCCCCAAGTCCAAGCCATGCGCTAGGATCGAGCGCTGGGTGCTCCGCCTGCAGCCATACGACTTTCGAGTCGTGCACATCGCGGGAAAGTTCAACATAGCAGATCCCCTGTCACGTCTGCTGGGGAAAAGCGCTAAGAGCACGCCACATCATCATGGAGCAGAGGAATACGTGCGCTTCGTGGCGGTGCAGGCTACACCGCGGGCACTTACCACAAGGGAGGTGGAGAGAGCATCCGCGGAGGACAAAGAACTGGATGAGGTGAGAAAAGCGATCAAGACAGGCCGTTTTGAAAAGTGCTCAGCTTATGGCCGCATAGCGAATGAACTGTGTACTATTGGACAATTAGTGCTGAGGGGGACACGGATTGTGCTTCCACAGTCACTGCGCAGCAGAGCTTTAATCTTAGCTCACGAGGGACACTTAGGCATGGTAGGGATGAAGCAGCATCTGAGGGGGAAAGTGTGGTGGCCGGGGATGTATATGGCAACAGAAAAATATGTGAAGGCCTGTGATGGATGCAAACTAGAGGCACGTCCTGATGTACCCGAGCCATTGCGGCCCACTGCTCTCCCTGACGGGCCTTGGCAAGACCTTGCCACAGACTTATTAGGTCCCTTACCTACAGGACATTCAATCCTGGTAGTAGTAGACTACTACAGTCGGTACTATGAGTACGAGATCATGCGTTCCACTACAGCAGAGAAAGTGATTGACAGTCTGGAGAACATCTTCAGTCGCCATGGTCTACCAGTCTCCATCCGATCTGACTGTGGGCCCCAGTTTCTGTCAACACAGTTCCAGGACTTCTGCAAGGAGAACGGCATACAACACGTCAAGACGACACCGAAATGGGCACAGGCAAATGGAGAGGTCGAGAGGCAGAATGCCTCCATCATGAAAAGAATTCGCATCGCGCACGCAGAGGGGCTGGACTGGCAGAAGGAGCTACGAAAGTACGTCACCGTCTACAGGTCGATCGAGCACTCAACCACGGGCAGGAGCCCTGCTGAACTCCTGTTCAACCGGAAGCTCCGGGGAAAGCTGCCAGACATCAGCACGCCGAGAATCGACATCGAGGCACGGGACACCGATGCTGAGAACAAGGGCAAGTATGCAGAGTATGCAGACCAGCGGCGCGGCGCGAAACCATCACCGGTGCAGGTGGGAGATGAAGTTCTGCTGAAACAGGACAAGGTTAACAAATTCACCACAACATTTAATCACACACCACACACTGTAGTGAGTAAGAATGGTAATAATGTTGTAGTTGAGTCACCCAGTGGAGCTCAGTACTCCAGAAATACCACACATGTTAAGGTGTACACACCAGCAGAGCAGACAACCTCACCTGGCGAGAGTGAGGCACCGAAAGAGAGAGAGACTCATGCAGAACCGTCTGTGAGGTCCACACCAGAGACACTCACTCAGGGGTCATCTCCAAGCCGACCTCTGACCACACCGACTGAGCGGCCTCGCAGAGAAATAAAGCAGCCGGAGAGATTCACGGACTTCATTATGAAGTGATGAATGTATTTAAAAAAAAAAAGAATATTCATGTTCAATGAAAGTGAATTCTATGTTGTTGGGATATGAATGTTTACATTTTTGAATATGTTCAGCAATTGATATTGAATGCATAATGTCTGGAGCAGAAATGGTTCTAGGAGTTGAAGGAACAAAAAGGTTATTCTGAGAATGTTTCGGAAGAAAAGGTTTATTTTGAAAATGTTAATGGTAAATGATAATCCACGAGTTTGGTACAGATATTGTGGACTGTAACAGTGCCACTGTGATAAGATTTATGTTGAAGGTAATATGAGATATCTTAATGGTGTTACGAGTGTTAAATTGTTATTGATACATTGGGTAAAGTTTTAATCCAAGAAAGGAGGGGATGTCATGTACTGAGGATGACGTCAGCACGTCATACGTTATTCCCCTGAGTAGGGATGTAAGGTGCGTTCTTCTACATTGACCAGCATGAAGTAAAGCCACGGAAAACTATGCTCCGGTGTGTGTCTGATTTAATTCGATTACACAAAGTCAAAGTGTAACATATCCCACTTTTTTAGTCCCGTTTACCTCGAATGGTTGACCGCAGTCCTAAGCATCAATTATGTTGCAGGCACTCATCATCGTCAGACTCTCCTCTCATCCAGACAACTGTCACTCTACCTCACATTCTTTTGGAGTCTGTTCCCGTTTATATTCATGCAGGTTTGTATGAGGTGTTTTTTACCCATTTGAATTGATGGGAAATGTTTTTATATTTCTACGATACATTTTACAGATCTGCCTTCATTTGGGAGGGTCAGAGAGTCTCTTCCGGTCCGGTACCACATAGAAAACCGGACTTCTTTGGTTCAGGAGGTGGAGATGGCTGTGGAACCCTCTGATGCCTTTATGTTCTCTGGGCTGAAACAGGTACTGTTTCAACTTTTCTACTTCTAATGGAAAATTGTTATTCCTTTGGTTTGAATGTTTGCATGAGGAATGCATCTTTTCACTTAGTATGGTCCCAGTCTCCCCAAGTCTTTTTACAATATTTCTAATGGAGTCTTTAATTGATCTCAAATAACAGGTGCGCGTTCGGATCCTCCCTGGTTCTGAGCATCAAATATTGTATAATTTTTATCCATTGATGGCCGGTTTCCAAACACTACCACAACTCAGTATAAATCTACCCCGGTGCCCTACCACAACCTCACAGAGTCTCAGGCGCTTCCTGCCCCAGCGCATTTTTGTCAAGGTAACTTTTATATCCTTTACTGAACCTATTAAAACCTATAAAATGTACGTCAATTTATCTTTTTTTCTAGCCCCAAGGCCGACGGCTTGACGACGCATCTATAGCAGCAGCTTGAGACGGCCATATGGATAATTGTAAATATGAGATTAAAAAAGTTTTATAGATTATAATGGACTCCTTTAACACTTCAGAGGATTTTATTAACACTAGCTGTTTCATATGGTTCCATACAATTAAATATTTAAACTTGTCTTGAGCAGGTGACGCAATTCCATTCACTGCTTTGGATGCAATGATTTGTGAGATTGACACGAGATGAAACTATTAAATGACGCAACGTTGTACTGTCCATTCCATGATCTAAACTGGCTGTGATTTAATTATGTGATGTATGAAACTGAGTGTGATGAGAGCTGGATTAAACTGAAGTGTTGAACTTTTTTCTCTGCAAATTGTTTAATTTCCCAGAGCATTAAAGGTATATAGGAGGATTTTCTACTTCCGGGTGGATCATCAAGACTATCGGTCCTCTTAATTGTCAATCATTCTGGTGATATGGGCTTGTCAAACAAGACCAGATTTTTTTTTTTCAAAAAGAGTTCTTTCCTAAAATTTGGGATAATCATCCTATAAACCTTTAAATTAAATTGTGTGTATTATTTATTGTATTTAAGTTGCTTGGAATTGAAACACAGGGCTTCAATTTATACAAAAATCCACACAACTTTGAAGAAACGGGTATGTATAATTAGATTCAAATAAAAAACAGAGTTCAAGTTTAATTCATTCAAGACTACATAATCTGTTCTAAACGACTACATAAAGGCCTGTTCGCAGTACTGGCGTGTATATTATGTCTTGTCGTGTCATCGGGGAGGGGAGCTGCGGGGGAGTATATATACATAGTTCCCACATGACGTCACTACATACGGGGATTTGCCGACCCGGCGCCATTTGTGTTGGCATGCTGTGGGCAAAACAATAGAAAAAGAAGCTGAAACGTGTTAATGTCGTGATAAAGTTGAAAATGGTCATCTCCTGCTGGGTCAATGGATGTTCAAATCGTGCCGGAGGTTCCGTTAAACTTGGATTTTACAGTATACCCATCATTAGACTTCATGAATGTGAGAAGACTAAGCTTTTGTCAGAACAACCACGGAGGTTATGGCTTGCGAAGATAAACAGGCAAGAAACTCCCTCAAAACACGCAAGAATATGCTCGGAGCACTTTGTGTCAGGTGCGTATCGTATCTTATAATGTGTTGACAGACGTAATTTACTCAGTACTAACTTGTGTATGCTGATAGCTGGTAACTTGAGAGTTTCATTATTTAGCGTTAGATTACTTTATTATGAGGAGGATCGGTGTCGCGTCCGAGGCTCTCGAGGGCAACGTAAATGTATTAAATAGATAATAATAGTTCTATGGTGGGCTAAAACAATGTTCACAAACAGCATTGCTTCTGTAAAAAGATCTGTGTCATAAAATTGTAACGGGCAAGCTGGGTAGGAAGCAGAGGCAGAAGTATCTTTGGAGAATAAAATAACCAGACTCCGTTTATTCATGAACAGCCCAACACGACCGTTGCCCTCCCGGCCAGTTTCAAAAAACATCTCTCCCAGCTCTTTGCGCATGCGCACTCTAGCACACGCTTACAATATCCCCCCCTTACACATGAAATGTCCCCATTTCAATACAATAACATAAGAAGAGGGAAAAAAAAAACAATAACAAGCATAACATACATAACCTGTTACACAACATCAGAACCTTAACCCATAACATAGTCAGCATAACGTCCAGGCGCCTTACTGTGTCGTCCAGAACGCGACACCTGCACCTGACGACCAATAGGGGCCGCATCCGGTACAAATTCACCGTCCACCTGTTCCCTCACTGGCGAAGGGGTGGACACAGCAGGCTCACCGTGTGAGGAGAGTGCATCGTAGGTCACAGGGCCCTGTGTACTTAGAGCGGCACTTCTCGGTGGGCCAGCCAAAGGAACAGGACTCGGCAAACAATAGGGACGTAGTCGATCATAGTGAATTGTCTGTTTGGGGGCTTCTTCCCCAAATGGACTTCCAATCACATATGTAACCCCAACCACGTCGTCACGGTCCTGTCTCCGCTCAATAATGTAAGGCCCCTTCCAGTGTGGGGCCAATTTACGGCGGCTCTCAGTTGGGTCATGAAGCCACACTAAATCCCCAATTTCGTAAGGCCTGTGTCTCTCTCTGGTGTCATAAAAGGTCCTCTGTTTGTCACTCGCAGTCACACTGTTATCGCGACTCTGGCGAAAAGCAGCATCCAAACGTCTACGAAGGGAAAAAACAAAATCATCAATAGAGTCATATCTCTGACCAGTCTGCATAATAGGAACCAAAAACACATCCACAGGAACACGAGCCTCCCTACCATGAATAAGAAAATAGGGCGTAAATCCTGTACTGGAATGAACGCTAGTATTGTATGCAAACGCAACCTGAGATAAGAACGAGTCCCATTCACCCTCACAAGCAAGTAGCGTTTTGGCCAGCTGATCAATGAGCGTTCTGTTTAGTCTCTCTACCATGCCATCAGATTTAGGATTATAAGGCGTGGTATGTGTCTTTTTAACACCCAACAATGTACACAACTGCCTAACCACGTCTGACTCAAACTGTCGCCCCGTGTCAGTATGAAGGGTCTCCATAACACCATGCTCCAAGATGAAATTGTTAAAGAGACACTCTGCCACGGTAGTAGCCCTCTGGTCCGCAATAGCATACATGTTAACAAACTTGGTGAAATAGTCTTCCACCACCAGAACATAGCGGTTTCCTTTCGACGTGACCGGCAACTCCAATATGTCTGCCGCAACCCGCTGAAACGGGCGCTGTGCCAACGCCGTCCGCATCGGAGCACGATGGTGAGGCACAGGCGCCTTGCGCCTCTGACAGGCATAACACTGCTCACACCAAGTGCGTATGTCACGATACATACAAGGCCAGAAGCACACCCCGCGTGCACGGGCCATGGTCCGCTCCACAGCCAAATGGCCAGTCAAGGGCCCACCATGAAGAAGACGCAGGACCTCCGGCACCAGAACCGATGGTACGACAACCTGCCATGTCTGTTCCACATCAGACAGGGCAACAACCCTGTGCACAATTCCGTCAATCATGGTCATGCGAGGAAACTCGTGCCACAAAATACGGAGAGCCTTACCAGCCCCTTTAATCCTCACTGAGGACGGCCTCTCACCCGCTCTAAGCCACTCCAACAGAGATCGAATATCTGGGTCCTCTTGCTGCAGACGCCTTACGTTGGAGCCTTCCTGAAAGAGGGTTTGTAGGTCACTCCCGTCAGGGGGTACTGAGGGCTCACAAGAATCCGATGCCTGAGCACTTAGGGGAGCCTCCGTAGAAGCTTCGACCCCACATACAGCCACCGAAGTTGACATATCCATAGTCTGCGTCTCAGAGCTCACCATGAATATCTGGGACACAGGACAGCGAGACAACGCATCGGCATTCGTATGCTGGACCCCACTCTTATGGACAATAATCCAGTCATACGGATCCAATTCCAGGCCCCAGCGACAGCGTCGACCCGTCCTATCATTGTCAACGGGAAGCTGCCTAAGACCAAGCAGTGGCTTGTGATCAGTCACAATGGTAAAATGTCGAAGACCTAAATAGTGCCTAAAGTTCCGGATGGACCACACAATGGCCCAAAGCTCTCTATCGTATGTCGACCACTTCCGCTCTGCCACCGTAAGGGCATGACTGGCATAAGCGACAACCCGTTCCAGTCCTTCAACAGATTGCGTAAGCACCGATCCGACAGCAACTTGGGACGCATCAGTATACAACACAAAAGGTTGTGTAAAGTCAGGATGGCACATTACCGGCTCAGCACAAAGAGCGTCTCTCAGAAACTCAAATGACTCCTGGCATTCCTCTGACCAGGTAAATGGTACGTTTTTTCCCGTGAGATGGATGAGAGGGGAGGCATGTTGTGCAAAACCTCTCACAAACCTCCTATAATACGAGCAGAGACCAAGGAAGGCACGAACTTCAGTGGCAGAACGAGGAATAGGCCAGTCTCTCACCTTACATGTGTTCCTTGGGTCGGGCCGCAGCCCCTCAGCCGAGACAACATGCCCCAGGAACGCCACATGGTCACGAGCCATTTGACATTTCTTAGCCTTCAACCGCAGGCCAGCCGCACCAATCCTTGAAAGAATCTGCTCCAAGGCTGCCACGTGCTCACTGAACGACCTGCTAAAAATCAGAATGTCATCCAGATAAATCATACAAATATGCCAGGGAAGCCCCTTCAAGACCAGCTCCATGAATCTCTGGAAGGTAGCCGGAGCATTAGTGAGACCCATGGGCATAGACCGAAACTGATACAGACCATGGCCGGTGTTAAAGGCTGTTTTCTCACGGTCTTCCTCAGCTACTTCCACCTGCCAGTATCCATCTGAAAAGTCCAGTGTGCTGAACCATGTAGCCCCTGCCAAGGCATCTAATGTGTCATCTACCCGAGGCAATGGGTGTGCATCTCTCACCGTGACCGCATTCAGACCCCTGTAGTCCACACAAAACCTCCATGTGTTGTCCTTCTTCCTCACAAGCACCACAGGAGAGGACCACGGGCTACAGCTTTCCTCAATGACCCCATCTGCCAGGAGTCGCTGCACCTGCCTGTCGATCTCCCTCCGTTTGTCCGGGGACGTCCTGTAAGCCCTCTTACGAACGGGGAGGCTACCGTTTGTGTTAATGTGGTGTTTTATCACACCCGTAGCCTTAGTGAATCCTCCCCCAGTACGGAAAACATTACAGTGTCTCTCTAACAATTCACTGAGTTTCTGCCTTTGATCATCTGTGAGGTAACAGTCCCCTAAGTCCGGTAGAGTCACTGGCTTAGCGTCAGGGTCAACACCGTCCGTCGGCTCAAAAACGTCACTGTTATCGACATGATGAAGGACCCCCAAATGCGAACCGGAATGCATCCTCAACTCATGGTCAGTGGGGTTAAGTAACCGCGCAACAGTGAGTCCATCCTTAACCGGAGCCACTGTACGTGCAACCACCAACCCCATTGAATCCCGAGTCTCAGGTTCCACATACCCGATATAGAAATCAGTGTGCGGCTCCATGGAGCGCGGAGCCTCCACCTGCACAGGGACAACCATTTCACAGTAAGGAGGAATGATGACATCTGTGGACATAGTGATATTACAGCATCTTGGAATAAGGTCATTAGCATGTAACAATGGTATAACCACTCCCCCCAGGTGCAATACACTATGTCCCACGTCAAGAACAGCAAGAAACTCTGACAAAAAATCAAAACCCAGCAAAACTCGTTGTGTCGCCCCTCTTACAACATGCACCATCTGCTCCACATACATTCCCCCCAAATACATGGGAACAGTCATCGTGCCAAGTGCGTCCAATAATTGTCCGTTGACAGCATGAGCAAAGATGTAATCCTTACTCAATACACGTCTACGCAAAGCAGGGACTGACATTTTAAATTCTTCTGTGATTAATGACACGTTAGAACCAGAGTCAATGAGTATAGGAACATCCACTCCCTCAATGGATCCCCTGATATATGATGTACACTTGGACTCACCCACAGCACAGCAGTCCATAGAGGAAGATTCAATCTCCGCCGTGGAAGGTCCACCGCGACCCTGAGATTGCGAAACTGGCGGTCGGGCCTCACCTCCAGTTACTGGTCGTTTCCCTGGTTCCGTCTGATTGGAGAAGGAGAAGGGGAACGCCGAGAAGGTGAACGCCGAGCGGGTGACAGAAATCTCACACCGCGTCTCCACTCTGGCTCCACGGAGAAACGTCCTCTCCGGGGAGTCTCGTCCTCTTCACGGCAGTGAGGGTAATCAGGCGCCGCGCCCCGATCCTCCTGCGCCTGTGGGGACCACTCCCGGATATACCTGGATCCGTATCGCGGTGCACGACCATATCGCGGTGCACGACCATTGCACTCCACGCGATGCTCACGAGCAGAGGATCTGCAGCCAAATCCGCCACACTCGCAGGCACACGGAAAACCTTGACTAGTGCGAGGTGTGTGGTCACTCCGTTGTGCTCTCAAATTGACCACCTCCATCTGTAGTTTGTCCATCCTGTCTGTAAGCCGCTCCACAGCACCGAGAAGCTTTCCCGTCACTCCGGAAGTGCCCAGCGCTGTCCCCTCAGCCGCGGAGAGAGAGGCCACCGTGGCTGGTGCAGGATGGGAGCCGGGTCCGCTCTGTAGACCCACACCCAGGGCCATTCTAGCGCGCTCGCATCGACCCGCTATCATCAGTGCTTCCTCCAAGTCAGTTGCGCCCTGTTCGTGGCATTTGGCCCGCAGCCCAGGGTCAAGTCCAGCCAGAAAGCGACGGAACTTCTCACCATTCTGTGCCATTTTGTCATACTCCGGGAAAGCTTCAGCAACGAGCCGGGAAAGGTCCGCAGCGTACAGCTCCAGGCTCTCGCTCGCCCCACGGGGACGAGCCGAGACGCACGTCTGAAAATACAGCAAAAACTGTTTCTGTCCAAAAGCCTCATTGAGTTTTTCCTTCACCCGTTCAAAATCACACTGCACAGACGAGGGCAGGCTGTCCCACAACAGAAACGCCGCACCATCCAGCCGGGTGGGCAGCAGAGCGGTTAAGGACGCGGCATAGCTTCTCCCATCACCCCGGGTCTGAGCGCGGACCGCCGCTTCGAACTGCTTTATCCAGGTAGCGAAAAGTTTACGTCCATCTCCACAAAACGCTGCAGGCAGGTCCACTCTGATATTGCACACCCCCTGGGTCCATGGAGGTACGTACTTGCATTCATCCTCAGCCATACCGGCGTCAGATCCATGAAAGTTTCCAAACATAGTTCACCAAATAACGCCAAGTAAGTAAGTAAGTAAGTTTTTATTTATATACCGCCTTTTCACTGCAGATCTGAGTCTCAAAGCGGTTTACAATTGTTAATTTTTGGGCATTTGTCTCTCACTCCACACAGAGATGGGAGCCGGGTCGCCAGTACAGGAGGCGCATGCCAGAACTATTGGACATGTTTTTAGTGGTAGGGGAAACCGGAGTACCCGGAGGAAACCTACGCAGACACGGGGAGAACATGCAAACTCCACTCAGAAAGGCCCTGGTCCGACCGGGATTCGAACCCAGGACCTTCTTGCTGAGAGGCGAGAGTGCTATCCACTCAGCCACCGTGCCGCCAACTGCAATTCCCGAGTATTCCGAAGGAACGTCCAGCCAACACCGCTGCCACCAATGTAACGGGCCAGCTGGGTAGGAAGCAGAGGCAGAAGTATCTTTGGAGAATAAAATAACCAGACTCCGTTTATTCATGAACAGCCCAACACGACCGTTGCCCTCCCGGCCAGTTTCAAAAAACATCTCTCCCAGCTCTTTGCGCATGCGCACTCTAGCACACGCTTACAAAATAAACTGCTCTTTACGCCTGGAAAAATCAGTTGCCCACCATTCACCAAAACATACGGTCAAAAACGCGGAAATAAACAATAACAGCAATCCAGAGTGTCCGTGTGGCATTAGCATTAATTAAATTAATTGTTAATATAATTAAAATAATTAAATGGAGCTCCAACTAAAGTTTTTGAGAAATGTTTGCATTGCTTGTTAATTTTTGCTGCAAATATGTAAAACATGTCCGTAGCACGTTAAACTGTGGTGCCATTGTATTAATATACAATTATTTGCTCAAAAGTTGCCCTTTTTTTTCAATTTGCGTTTGAATATCTACATTTATTCTCATTCTTCTGTTTAATGGAATGCACAAACACAGCAGCGTGCCATCAAAGATGGCGTCTCCGAGGAGGTCATGTGACATTCATTGGTCTGTGGGAACTATGTATATACTATGCATATATATATTGTAATACTCCCAGGTAAGAAGTGCTCGAACAGTGCTCTTCAAGATGATTTTATTCACAAGCTGACAGAACAAGCTGCTGTTAGCCACAGCTCACGCTTAACTCACAACTTACAACACACACTCCCGTCGTGTGAACTCTTGGGGAAAAAACATTATTATAATAGATCCATGGGAAAAAACCCCACTCACGTAAAACTCTACCATAACCAGAGCGCCCCCCTGTGGTAGTAAACAGACAACACAGAACTATTACAATATGTATAGTAAATTATATATATATATATATTTTGTAAATTGTATTAACCTTAATGATTTTACTAAACTTAATGAACAGCACAGTGTCGATCTTGTGATGGGACTAACTGTACGCTCCTGTGTTTCCACTACATTTCAGTTTGCTCTCCAAATGTCTTTCACAAACTGGCTTCATCAGCGATTTTTTGTAAGCATGATTTTATTCTCTCTTGTTTACAGACTACTTTTACTCGATAAAAGGTAGAGACCTAGGTCATGAGAGTGCTATTCCTTATCTTGACGCAGGGTGGTGCTGTGCCCGCCTCTAAATGACGCACAGGACGCTCTCATCTCGCGAGAATTACCACATGAATTCAAAGTCGACGGCGGTTTTGGGTTTATTTTTATTTTTAAGGCTGATCTTTTTCTGAACAACAAGGTACTTAATACAAATACTAATATAAGCATGGCGCATGCTTAAATTGTCATTTGTTTGACTCACTTTCCTCTGTTTCGGCTCTATGGATTTGAGGGCTTGTTTATGCTCTGCTGTACAAGTTTGATAGTTTAGTTAGCTTAGTTAGCTTAGCCTGCTGTAGTCAGGGTTACAGTCTTTGGGGTTAACTCAAGTTACCCCGTGTCTATTTACCTGTGTACATAGTATTTGGATGAAATGCGTACGAATGTTACTGCTAACCACTGAAAGTTGAATGTCAGTGAAGGTCGCTCACGTTATGTTTTAATCAACAATATTGAGTTCATATTGAAAAAAAAACCGTAGCTGTTCATAGTCTAATGCAATGGGAGAGAGCGTAGAGAAAATATTACCTGCCTAAAACCTATTCTCGATGACAGTTCTAATGTAATTAAACTATATTTTAAAGTTGAATTTAAATTTTTAGTGTTGATGGTATAAAACCACTTATGTATTTTTTCTACAACAGTAGGCAAGGAAGAAGTTATTACACAATGCTCTGAAAGTTCAACATTAATTTCTGGGAGAAAAAAAAAATGTTTATTTCTTATTTACCCATGGTTGTTTCTGCAGATGTGTGACAGAGGAGATGAAGAGGAGGTCAAGCGGCTGAAGGTTCAGCTGAGGGAGACTGAGGAGCAGGTGCAGAAGGCTGCGCAGGCTGGATTAGACCTCCTAAATCAGCAGATGGAGTTACAGAACCGACTGGATGAGCAGAGAGTGGAGATGACCAATGCTCTGGAGGTAAGAGATGAGACTTCAAATATCTCTTGAGGCTCTGAGAGAGAGCACTGATATTACCATACTATGAAAACCTTGATTAAAAAATATGCTCTAGAAATAATTTATGGTACTTAAAGGAATAGTTCACCGTTTGTACATACTGACATATGTTCTTACCTTACCTTAGACTAGTTAATACGTACCTGTCTGGTCTTAGTCCGTGCGCTCTGTCATGCAAACGGAGCAAAAACTGGAGCACAACCGCAGCCTCCTCTGTATATTTTGTAGCACCAAAAGGTAGCTCCCGCTAGAAGCTACCAAACTCTTCCAAGTGTTCCCTATTAAATTTATATAGTTACGTGACGTGTTACACTGCAAAGTATAGTAACACAGAAATGTAACAGTCGATTTTCTCAGCGGATAAAACGGGTACTATATTGTGAGGCGTAGTAATCTGAGGTGCGCTACGTCCGCGCACTAACTTCTCTCCGGAGACTTCTCTCTCGCTGCTACTGTGTGTATTACAAGTCACGCTGCTTCTATTGACGGAAGTGAGCGAGAGAGAAGTCTCCGGAGAGAAGTTAGTGCGCGGAGAAGTTAGGAGCGCTACGTCCGCGCACTAACTTCTCTCCAGAGACTTCTCTCTCGCTGCTACTGTGTGTATTACAAGTCACGCTGCTTCTATTGACGGAAGTGAGCGAGAGAGAAGTCTCCGGAGAGAAGTTAGTGCGCGGACGTAGCGCACCTCAGATTACTACGCCTCACAATATAGTACCCGTTTTATCCGCTGAGAAAATCGACTGTTACATTTCTGTGTTACTATACTTTGCAGTGTAACACGTCACGTAACTATATACATTTAATAGGGAACACTTGGAAGAGTTCGGTAGCTTCTAGCGGGAGCTACCTTTTGGTGCTACAAAATATACAGAGGAGGCTGCGGTTGTGCTCCAGTTTTTGCTCCGTTTGCATGACAGAGCGCACGGACTAAGACTAGACAGGTATGTATTAACTAGTCTAAGGTAAGGTAAGAACATATGTCAGTATGTACAAACGGTGAACTATTCCTTTAAAGTGTAACATTCTATTCCACCTAATTGATCTGTTTATCATGAGTGAATAATGTATTTCATGATTATGATTTGCATATGAAAACCACAGACGCCCTTTGCTAATTTACATTATCCATGGTTTTATCAGTCAGTCTTGTTTTCATTGTAATTTGCTTTGGTATGTGGTGCAGACAAGTAATAAAAAGGAAGACAGATATAAATGATAGACAAGCTATTTGTGATATTGTTCCACTTATTCTTGTGTGCAGAGTAACCAAATGTGTACTTGTTCCTTTGACAGCTCCTTGAACAAGAGAAGTATTCACTGCAAAAAGAAGTGGAGCTGAAGTCCAGGATGCTTGAATCACTGCAGTCAGAGATTGAAAGTGTGAAAAACCAGCATAAACGGCAGCTTGAAGAGCACAAAGAGCATTTGGAGATGAACCACAATGTCACTGTCACTGAGCTCAACAATAAGGTCAGAACTGAACATTGTTGAGCATTGGTTAATTCTTTCTTTTTAAACAGTGGTGGTAATTATCCTTGTTTGTGGTTCCAGGTCCATACTGTGCAGTCTGCTTTAGAGGAATCGCATCTGAATGAGAAGCAAATGAGACACAAGCTGGAGCTGCTGACGGAGACGTTGAATAACAAAGTGGAAGAGCTGCGCGCTGTGAACGAGCTGACACACACATCCATGACCTCGGAGATGATGGAGGTGCAGATGAAGAACATGGACCTGGAGAACAACAAGGTGAGGAGGCACTAAAGTACATTTTCAAATATTACTGCATGCATTGAATAGTGCGGCATTCTTTCTACATCCCAGAGCCATGGGATTCAAATTAATGTTGAAGAGTATGAATTTGCACCCTGACCCTGCACTAAGATTTAAAGTGTGTTCTGTCATATCCCAGAACAAGTTACCACAGTAGTCACCAGGATCCAATGTGCCACTCATCTAAAATGCCTGAAATGGATTACTCCTGGAGGAATCAAGGATTTACATTGCATACTCCTCTTATTTAATGTCTATGCTACAGTAGACATTAAATGGACCAAAATTCTTTAGTCTTTAACTAAATTGGGAGAGTCCTTTTTGATTAAGACAGTTGTCAATAAAGCTATGTGTAATTCGATGCATTTAGGAAGAGGGCAGGTGTTATTTACTTAAAGTACATATCACTTGTGAAAGTTCTAACACTTCTTTTTCTGCCTAAGTCTCAATCATTTAAAATAATGTTTTTTTTTCTTTTTTATGGAGGATTTTGCATATTTATAAATAACGAAAATGATAGAATCAATCCATCACACATCCTAAATGAACAACATGCATAAGTCGGACCATCCCTTTTCAAAGTGCGTAGTTTACGATGAGAGAACAAAAAAACGAGTGTTACTTTTGTTGCTAAACACGAGCTTTTGTGTCTCAGGTGGAACTGGAGCAGGCTCTGCAGGAGTTACAGTACAGAGAACAACAACTGGAACTGAGTAACGAGACTTTACAACGACAATTAGAACGTTTGAGAGAAGAGAAGGAGGAGCGTGAGAGAGAGGCGGTCTCCTGGTTCAACTCTCTGGAAGTGAGACTCATTCATACTCCTACTACTAAAGTAGTAGTACTATCAGCAAATTCCTGTTTATGTTTGTGTGTCAATTTTTATTATTATTTTGGGTCACAGAAATCCCGAGAGGCAAACAGAGAACTACAGGTGGAACTGGATCTACTCCAACAGCAAGCTCAGGATCCTAACAGCAAAGGCAACTCTCTATTTGCTGAGGTAAAATTGCTGTTCACCAGCTCTTAAAACTACATACTACATGAGACTGTTGTAAATATTGTGATACATGTTTCTGTAGCTCGAGGATAAGCGTGCAGAGATGGAGAAACAGCTCATCTGTATGAAAGTCCAGTACCAGTCACTGCAGAAACAGTATGCCTTCAGCAAACAGCAGATGCAGCGGCTCAAGGTACCAGTGCACTCATTTTATTCATAGAAAACATTGTGCTTATTTCTGCTATATATTTCTAAACCTAATTATATGGTTGTCACATTATGGTTGCTATTCTATATTGAGCCTAATAATCCCTCACAATACAACTCGTTATGTATAGATAGATACTTTATTGATGGCCGATATTTTTTACATTCAATTTCAAACTTAGATTTTTGCCTGATTAAGGTCCAAATAGCCACACTGATGCAACTACAAGGTTCCAGAGCTGATCCTGCTCAACTGGAGCGACTGCAGTCTATGGTCTCTGAGAAGAACGGAGAGATCCAAAACCTCATGTCCAAACTGCAGAGGCTTGAGAAAGTGGAGGTGAGTTTGGGCTCAACAATTAAACTGGTATGCTTGGTTTGAAACCAGTCAAGCAACAGGAACTCTTTCTGTTTTGACACCAACTTAACTGGTTTATATACCTTTGGAATCACAGATGATGGTAAAAGCTCAGACACCAAACTCTGCTCCAGGAGAAGGAATTGAAGGTCAAGATGAAACGTACTACACTGACCTGCTGAAGATGAAGCTCAACAATTCAATGTATGAAAACTGACGTAACTTGATCTTATTTCTCATCGGTTTGAAAGCTGACAACCTTTTCCTGTGTTTAGTAAAGATTCAGAGCGTTTGGGAGATGAGCTTTCCCTGCAGAGGATGAAGTCTTTGTCTGAGAGCCAGCGAGCTCTTGAGCTGGAGAGGAAATTGTTCACTGTTGAACGAATGCTCAAACAGGTATTTAGACAAATCTGTAATACCCGAGGAACATAGCTGGGGTACCAGTCACAAAGCACTTTGTTAGCATTTGTCCTCTCACTCCACTCTGCTGGGTCGCCACGCAGGAGGCGCATGCCAGACCAGTGATAACCACTGCGCCACGTGCTGCTCATTGACAATTATACATGTCATTGTCCCAAAAGAAAGTCTCGTAAAAGTAACATCAGTTATATTTTGCACACTTCCGCTTCAGGGAGGGTGAGTTATTGTGATGGATCATTTTTAAATATAAATTCTATTTGTTTCTTCACAGGCTCAGAGTGACAAGATCAAGCTGCAGCTGCGCGTTGAGGATCTCCAACACAAATATGAACCTAAAGGTACCATAATTGTCAGACTATTGGCCGCTATTAGTTTAAATTGCTTTGAACCTTGTGGCCTATATAGAGATGCTGCCAGCATGTTTTATGGTGATAGAGTTGGCCTGTTGGCAGAGCAGCCAACAGCCCATCATTATTTTGACTAAGTTTTAGTAGCTTGTAACAGTAATGGTAAACATGCTAACGCAAGTGAATGTTTGCATCCTCAGATTATATGGTTTTATTTACCAAGCTTTGTTCATCACAACAAAATGGTGCATTAAACACCTCATCATTAAAGCATGTTGTGTCCAGTTAGAGCAGTTGTCTACCGGTGTCCTTTTATAGTCCAGGAAGTACTGTATAGTTTGACTTTTCTTCTCTTGAATTAGTAAAAAAAAATTGCTTTCATCTCTAGAAGGCAAAAAAGGTCTTCTTCAAAAGAGAAAGAAAGAAAAACTTGCAGTGGACGTTGTTCCTTCTGTTGAGAAGCTTGAGGATGGTGAACCGCAGGTTAAGGTGGTTTTGGACGTGATGGAAAACACTGATACAAAAACTATATCTCCTCCAGCTCCTGAAAATCTCCAGTGCAAACAAGGTAAAAAAAATGCCATATGCGTAGTAGCAAAATTAAAGTGATTGTCATATTTCCTCATATCTGTAATAACTTGTAGAGCCTGAAATGGAGGAAAAATCAGCAAAAAATGTAAAGATTAGTTTGGAAGAACCTGTTATCTCCAATTCCAGGTATGTCCTTGGATCGTTTTGATAATTGAATGCTTCTCTATCTTTCATATGATTGATGTGAATATATTTTAGTTATTTATAAAACAGTTTTATTGTTACCCTTACTTTGTAATGTTTGTTACTCCTTTTAATAGCTTCTATTTGACTGACTGTAACATGAAGTCAGAGGAGATGCATCAGAAGAACATCAAGGAGGACAGAAAAAAGAAGCAGAAAAATGTTGAGGTGATTCATGTAAAATCTAGTAACAGTACGGAAAACCAGTGTGCCCAGCAATAGCTATTTATGAAATTATTGTGTGTTCTTTACCTGATGAACACTCCATTAAATGTTGTGTATATATTGTTGTGTAAATAAAATATGTATCTATTAATGTTATCACTTGTCCTGTCTTTTATTTTAAGCTGTGAACAAATTGGTTGCATGAGATTGTGAAGAGGCATTCTTTTTTCCAAAATAGTCTAGTGTTGGAGTATTGCCCCCTAAGACGTATAGTACCAGTCCCTTGCTGATCCTCAGGCTGGTGGTGGGTCAACAGGAAGATGACCTGATGACACAGCCTTGATCTTTTGCCCAGGGACACAACTACATCAGTGGGAGCAGGTCTCGTAGTGGGATCGACCCACAGGCCCAAACGCCAATGCTATTTGTGATACAGTTACTTTAAAAATCAAAACATTTTAGTTATGCAGGCTAGGTATTGAAAATGTGAAAGTGTTTATGCTTTTCCAATTAACCAATAAAAAAAAAACGTATCCAGTAAATTAACAAGTCGAAACACATCGTTGCATGTATTCTGTAAATACATTTTCAAAGTAGTATCGCTATTTACATAAACATACACTAGAGAACATAAATAGAACTTAATCAGTCATTTTTGCCTTTTACCCTTAGTGCATGTCCCTCTTATTTATATTACTGTTATTGTCCACAAGGAGCAGTAGTGAGAACACCATGAAGACAACATTGACGTGGACCAATCAGCGCGCGGGAAGATCAAGCCTATGCGGAAACCACATGGATCACATACATCTTGACATTTATCCATTATAATATCGGTCACATAATTAAACAGTAAAAGTTAAAAACACAGCGGGAACATTCACGTTCTATGTCTACAAATACATCTTCTGAAACAGGCAAGATTTGTTCAATGTGATAGATTTAACAGCGAGTATGTCTTTCACGTCATCGCATATGAATTCATGCCCATGCAATTATTCTATTCTTTTTCAGGCTGCATGGCTCCCAGACTGTCCAGGTTAACATGTTTGAGACTAAGTATCATGGTTGTACTCCTGTTCCACTGCTCTTACACATTCTGTCAACGGGTAAGCATATGTTTGACTGTAAATAGTGGGTTAGGGTTAATAGATTAACACAGATATAGTCCCCCAGGCACCCACAAATACTATATTGTGAGTGGTCTTTCAAGAGGTATTTCAGTTTAGGCTATTGGCTTCCATTGTGGTAATCTATTTGTAATACGATTACGATCTTTCTAATGGAAGAATTCCTAGATCAAAGATCTCTGAATCCTGGCCAAATTTGCCGTGATGTGAAACTCTGTTTTGAAATTTTCTTTTAACTGAATATATGTTCTTAGTTTAGGTTTTGGCAAAATTCCAATTTGCCACTGTTTTTCAAAATTGGCCACTAATTTTGCTCTAATGCTACTGACGCTGCATGGCAGATTGTTATGAACAATATATTTGAGATGTACTTCAGCAAACACTGATCGACCCAGGGTGACATGGCTTTGCTCCACTTAAGGACCTTTTTTGTTAATCTTTTGTCTGGCATATTAATGATTTGATTACACAATCAAACCATGTCACATTTTCTTTGGACTGTGCCAGGAACCCAGCCCATATCCCCCTGCGCAGCCCGAACAGGAACAAACTTGTGATCTCCCGGATTGCGGATTGCTCTGTTTTTTACAGCGTCTAAGGCTGAATACTGTCTGGCCCCCAAACACCAGCAGCATAGTTTAGAACAGTAGAAACACAGGCCTCATACAACTTAGAGTATGTTCTATAACCAAGATCTTTACTTTACATTTGTTTATCACAGAAACGAAAGCACGGCTGGCAGAGTCAGCAAGAACTTTGACTCCACAATCAAAACTCATTAACTCACTGAATGTGAAACCCAGGTATTTATACTCGGGGACAAATTCCAGAACTATGTTACCGAGCTTGAGAACATTTCTGCTTAATGGAATTGACTTCCTCTTGAAATGAACAATCTGGGTTTTAGTTTGATTTTATGGAAAGTTTCCATTTATAACACCAGTCGTGTAACACGTTTAACATAGTCTGGAAATCCTCTTCTGTTTCAGCCATGAGTGCAACATCATCAGCATAAAGCAAAATGGCTACTGTGTCAGAGTCCATACAGATACCCATGTTCAATTGTTTTATTTCCAGAGCCAAGTTATTGATAAAAAGTGAGAACATGTTCTTGTCATTACCACCCCAACTCAAATGCGTTTCAGCCTATATTTTTTTGAGTCAAAATCAACTATATCCAGCATCAGTTTATGGTGTACTTTGCTATACTATACTACGTTGTACAATTGAAACAAAGGCTTATACTGTATTTTAGTTGGATGGTGCCCTGTCTGTGGTCAACAACCCTGAAGAAGTGGACGACGAGGATGATGAAAATGAGGTTCAAGTAGAAGATGAAGAAGTCTTAGAGCTGGTCCATCCAACCAATAAATGGCAATCTCTCAAGCCTGGTGAAGACGCTGTATAAGTGTTTTTCAACTTTTTATTTATTTTTTCAGTTGTGCTTTTTTAACACACTTTTTTATTTTCAGGCCAAGCTGTACCACGCGGTTCACACGTCAGATTAAATTTACAAACGGGACAGAGGGAGGTCCGGCTGGGAGAGGATCAGCTAAAATACTGGAACCAGCAACATAGGTATAAATCAAATAGAGATGTCAACAATATTCAGGTCCTTAAAAAGTCAAAAGTCTTTTGTATTTTTAAATGTTCCTTCCCACCCTTTCTAGTGAGAATGACGCAAATGATCAGTTTATAAACCCGGATGAGCTGAAAGAAGCAATGAAGAAAATTAAAGAAGACTTGAAAATCAACCAAGACTCAACTAAAAATGTCAGTAGTCTATATTTATTAGATCCTTCCTTCATGCACCAATATTTATGTTCTATCAGTTGTATCCACACTTCTTCCAAGAATGCCGATGTTATAAGTTTCCTTGATTCTGCTTGATTCAGCTTTACTCCTGACTGATCATTGGTGCTATTTCAAAAGGGCACTCACACAATTTTCCTCTACTACCGTTTATGCTTTTCAGGACTCTCCGTCATCTCACTTTCGGCCCCTCGAGGAGCTAAAGGAGGATATGGCTCAGCTGAATCTTCTTGTGGAAACAGACGCGCAGGTAAATATTTGTTCTGCAGGGCAAACTGTACCATAAATCCAATGTTTTTCATGTTTTTTCTACAAAATTAGTATAATGTTGTGTTGTTTTGTGATGTGACAGATATTAAGACGCCTCCTGACACAGCTGAACAGCACCCGCTCCACAGAAGAGAAGCTGACCATTCTTTATGAGCTTGAGTACATGGTGCACCAGGTTGGCTTTTATTCATTCATCATATCAAGGGAAAGGTCATTTTGGTGGTACAATGTATCATACCACACCTCACCTGTTTTATGGTTAGTGTCTATGTAATTGCAATAAGCCTCTCATAAACAAGTGTGGAAAAGTTTAACACGGTCTATGTAAGATAAGTCCTAGATTGGTAGACCTCATAGATCCATAGTCAAATCTGTTCATTAATTTAGAATACTTAAAATGAAATGAAATACAATGTTTCCCACAGATTTGAAAGCAATGTGTAGGGCCCCCCTTGTCTTTTTAACGTGCCTTTTTCAATCGCGGAAATTACTAGATTTTAATTTCAAAAGGCTATAACTTAAAAGAGATAAAGACTTTCTGTAAACTTGAAAAATATTGAGGATGGCCCAAAGTTTATGTAGGGAATAAGTGTACCCATCTAATTAGCATATTATGACTAATGGCGTTGGAAATAGTGGATTTTAGAATTTTTATAAGATATTTGTGTTTTTTTAACTGACAGACATATAAATCACTAGGACATGAACACACAAAGATAACTCATTCTGTAACATGCTAAATGTTCAGGGAAATAGTAAAAAATACAAATCATGATGCTGACGTGAGCTGTCTGCCCGTGCGCGCTTCACCGCGATTCTCCTGCTGCTGTCTCCCCTGCTCTCTCTCTCGCGTCTCCCCTGCTCTCTCTCTCGCATCTCCCCTGCTCTCTCTCTCGCGTCTCCCCTGCTCTCTCTCTCGCATCTCCCCTGCTCTCTCTCTCGTCTAACAAACACATGACAAAGGCTTCTCCAACAAGTTACTGTCCCGGTGATGACTGGGATTATTAATCTATGAGAGGCACTATTAGCAGAGACTTTAGTGGAGGCTGGAGGTCGCGTCACGGTGTCCCAACAATTTCTAGGCTTGTTCTCCGCATATCTAACCTGTCTTCGGACCTCCCAATGACAGCTCTGACCCATGGAAACACTGTTCCCACTGACTCTGTGTAAAGTGTCTAAAGTTAGTGCTTGGTGCGGTACAACACTCACACGCTGCCTTCTCAGCTGCACTCGCTACGCTAGGGTTTCCGCACTGGTTCAATGCGGTCTTGCTCGAATATTTTGTATGGGAGCATGACGTTTTTTGGGGCCAGGGAGGTAGACTGACATGTCTGCGAACTAGTGGCAGGGTATATGAATGAATTTTGAGTGTTGAATTATAGGGTTAATAACAAAACGCCATCTATGCCGGTCGGTCTCGAATAGAGCCTATGTGTGGGAAACACTGTTAAATAATACTATATACTATTAAGCCACTAGTTCAAATGTTGTGTCCTAATCCCGATTACCTGACTTTTTGATAGTTCTCTGAAAAACTGTTTTCCCATATGTCGCCAAATTTGAGGTTAGGTTAAACAGATGAGTGTGCATGGATAGGGAAGTCTTGGCACGCTGCCCATATTGTAGGCCCTTTGCTCCGGCAATGTATAAAGTGGAAGAAAATGGTATGTAAAAAAATGAATCAAATGTTGAGACTGATTCTGATGTCCATGTTTTAGGTGGATAATGCCCAAAACCTTTGCTCCATGGGGGGTCTTCTGTTACTTTTAGAGGGACTGAACAGCTCTGATTCAAAGTTACAGGAAACCTCTGCCTTTGTTCTGGGATCAGCATTATCCAGGCAAGCAGATGTGAACATGGAATAGATTGTACTTCAAGCAATATTTTCTATAATTTTTCACCTTTTGGATTTCAGCAACCCAACTGTGCAGGTGAAGGCTGTGGAAAGTGGTGTCCTTCAAACATTATTAATGCTTTTAGCTACAACTGAAAATGTCACTGTACAGAAAAAGGTATTTCTTTTGCTTTTACTATTATCATGAAAATTGTACTTTTAAGAATGTTTAGTGTTTCCTGCATGTTCATTTAGTAATCATTACTCTCTTACACACAGATAATTCACCAATATCAAAATTCTGATCTCTAATGTGATCCATGTTATGTGGAAAAGTGTTTTCCACAGAGCCACTTGAGATTTTTTTTAATCCTTTGAGAACAGCAACCCCCAGAGATGTTTTTCACTTTAGCTGCTCTTCAATCTTCTCCAAAATCACAAGGAACTAGCCTTAGCTGCTAACCAGATACATCAATAGTGTCAATCCTTGACAGTGAGGCAGTGATTTATACCAATTGGGTATTCACCTTTCTAAAAACTTTCAAGGTTCTAATTCTAATTAACAAATTTCGACCCAGTTTGACTATAATTTTTTTGCTATATCGCCCGAGGGATGTAACTAACTACTAACCTAGGTCAAACTCTTAAACAACTTAATACAATCATAAGTTTTTTTTTCTGAATTGGAGTAAATTGTGTCAGGATGAGTTCTGTCTACCTCTAGCAAAAATGTAAATATTTTTTTATTCAATTAATCAATAAGCCCTATTTGTAGAGCGCCCTTTCTACACAAGGAAACGCTAAGAACTTCAGAGTCAACATCACACAAGGCACACATTTCACACTTTCCTCCAAAAAATAGGACCTTAATTGTGTTAGTTTATTGTAAAACTTTGACAATCTGTGGCCGTATTTCTGTAGATTCTTAGCGATAAGAATTTCTCTTAGTGGCCAAATGGCCAAGAATATTCTTAGAATGTTGATCTTAGAATCCTAGAATTTCCCCTTAAAGGTGAAGAGCAGAGTAAAAAGCTATTCCTATAGAATCCTAGCTCTTAAGAGAGAAATCTCTAAAGAGTAGAGAGGAGGACTTTTAGAGTTCCCTAAGAGGGCAAAATGGCGGACGTAAGAGGCAGGTACGTAAGAGGACAGTGGGGCCAAATTTACCTCTGAAAACACTTTAATGCTCATTGACCAATTGATCCAGAAGCAAACACTGTTCCTCTGTCAAGTTGGGTTTCCTCTTTCTTTTACTCTCCATTGCTGTTCACTTGTTAGTGGTATTTTTGAAAGTCAACCAACACAGCTTCTTATAGACTGGTCAGCAACCACAGCTGGGCCATTTTACCCTCATTACACCAAAGTGAATAGGAATGGTAAAAGTTGAAAGAGGAAAAAATGACCAGCATGGCAGATAAATATACCTATCACTGTGTTTATACTCTGCAAGTTGGCCCCAGGTGTCATTCATGATAAAACATGATAAAATATGCACTTTAAGGTCAATTTTGTTATCGTAGGGCCCCAAATCTCATTATACAGAATGTATTTTTTCACTAAGATATAAAATTCTGTATAAGCTGACAAAAGAACTATTTCTTTTTTAGGAACACTCATTTCTTGTTTTACAGGTCCTTTTTGCTATTGTCTCCCTTTTGCGTAACTTTCCATTTGCACAGCAGCATTTTCTGTCAAATGGCGGTCTTCAGGTGATGTCAGAGGTTTTCCAAGGGGACGGGAACAGGATCCTGCAAACAAGAATTGTCACTCTGCTACATGACCTAATCAGTGAAAGGGTAACCTGTGTTCTTTAGTTGAAAATACTTAGTAATTATGTCTTTCCTATTGTTGGTCTGCAACAGTGTAGTCACTTGGTCATTACAATCTCATTTCACACTCAAGTGCTGACGCTTGTCAGAAAAGCTGAGCTGGAATCTGGAGTAAAAATATTGGTCAGTTGTTCAGGATCATATCTAGATTCACAATAATCAAAATGAACCCTGAATCATACACTTTAAACCCGGATAGTGGGCAAAACGAATGTTTCTTAAGGAAACTCGTTCCCTCAATAAAGATTAGTTTTAGAAATACTATAAACCTAACAATATAAGTTAATTAAACACAGTCTTTACTAACACTCATTAGCTCACTAGACTAATGAGTGTTGTTTGTACTAATCGGTTTTAGTTTTATAAATGCCATGAATATAACAACACAAGCTGGTACAACATAAGGTCCTGAACTTTAGAACTCTCAGATTGAGAAGCAATAATGCTCGAAACTCAATTAGAGTTTAATTTCAGTCATGTACTGTATGGAAGCAAAGTGACTTATAAATAATATTAAAACATTCTCAAAAAATGACCCAGGCAGTATAAGTGTACTTTGGCTTGGCCCTGTCGATTACGGTTGGTAAAAATAAATACAATGATTTATTTGGTCAAATTAGTTTATTCAAAATGTTGCTCAAGTATTTTGCTCCATATTCACTCTCAAAATGAATGCTCAAATGTAGAATTTTTCAGAAGTTTGTTTTTCTCTGCAATGCATTCTGGGTAGCGTCATTGCTTCGCCCAATACATTTATTTTCAATCAACACAATATATTTGTTTTGTCATTAATGAACCCCCAGGATTACAAAAGAAATACTTAATGAATCTTCACTTAAAGCAATAAACTCAGTATTGTACAGGGTGCTATGATAATATGACACAGTACTTATTTGTCAACCAAAAACATAAAATAATGAAAAATGAAGTATATAGTGATTACTTTTAAGTATTTTACATCAAAGTTTGGTCTGATTCACTTTTTACAGTGCAGGTACTTCTTGTTCTATTCATGATGGAGACCCGCTTCTTCTTCCCTCATTACAATTCTTCATGTCAAAATTGTGTAAAATAAAATAGTAACGGAATAGGACAGGAAGTATTCACCCTCACAGTCTCAGGTCAGAGGAACTAGCACAGCCACATTCTCCAACAAGCCTCAAACAACAAATTATTTGTATTTTTGATTGTTATGATCAAAGAAGATACATTTTAAAACATTTAACTGTAAAGAGATTTGAGTGTTTAGCCATCCTTTAAGTTATACAATTTCATTTTTTGTCATTCGGTTTCTAACTAATCAGCATATCCATTGAATCAGAGCCTTGTCAGAGTATGAATTAAAGGCCCAAGGGGTACGTTAGACAAAAAGGCTGGGAACCACTACATTAGTGTATACAAATAAAAATAAAAATACTTTTGCTTATGAGCTGTGACCAACAGAAAACAAACAGGCTTTCCAGAGCAACTTGTATAACATTTGTGCATTTTTTAACCTGGCAACATCAGAACATAACTGTCGGTGACGGTGCGTGATCTGTAGAGTGAGTGATGTCATGACGTAGGCCAAATGTGGAAAATAGACCCCGCGCCTCAGAGTCATTTTACCTGGTTCAAAAATCAGTGCTTAACATCATAATTTCAAACTAGCGTCATGCCAAAGTAGTACAAACAGCTCCTTAAGATTAGTAGCCACAACTTTTTTGACAAAAACATATGAGAGTAAGCAATGACTACTAAACAGTTCACAAGATTACACGTTCGGGTTTACAGTGTAATCAGAGCGATACAAGATATACAATTTTTAAGCCCAAAATGTTTAGTGTGACACAAACGGTTAGAGAGCAAAATACTTTTCACTGTAATGGAACGAGAGCCAATGAGCAAACCTATAGTAGAGTAAAGTTGTCCCTTTTTAAATAAAAAGAGTGAGGGGTCATTCATTTTTGTCATAGGTACACCATCAGCCGTGACAAAATGTGAAACAAAATCAAATTGTATGATTGTTAAAAGAATTTGTATGAAAGAAAATATTTGTCTAATAAATTAATCTCAACACTTTGTTATGTGACCTATGTAGAGGTTTTAAAAACCTTATGATAGAGTAAAACTACGTTTTGTCTACTCTCGTGGATGCATGCGTAATTCTAGGGGGGAATTTAATTAGACGCAGTTAAACTGAAGGGGCTTTATCTTGAATAATTGGGCACCGGTCTTTATTGACGTTAGAGTCTAATTAAAAATGCGTTTTATTACAGTCTCACAACTTAGGCTGTATGTTCTTAACGGTTCAGGGAATCCTGTATTCTGTGAATGATAATAACGTGGCAGCGACTCAGATCTGTGGTTTATTGATCCAAAGGACAATATTATCAACAGGATATGTAAACATGTGTTCTGCAGGGGTTGTTACAAACAAATACCGTGATCTTTTGAGTCACAATTCAGACCAATGTTATCCTGAGTCAGTCAAGCATTACTCCACCAACAAACAACAATCAGCTTCTTACTCTGCGTTGAGTTGAATAATGTCTTCGTTGAAGAAGCACGTGATCCTTTGTAAAGAAAGTTACGTCCGAATGAGAAATAAAACATGGATGATGAAAGATCTCTACATATAGTCCCAATGTTCCCTATTCAGGAACGTGTTCTACCTGAAAGAGTTTGGAGGCTTTGGAGATGGAGGCCCGGGGAAACGGGGAGGCCAGCTCAAACAGTTGAACTCAGTTTACAAGACATAGTAACAAGACATAGTTATAATACAGATAATACAGACATCAGATGTTTCCTGACACAGATTCATCGACAGACAAACTGTATGGTCACGTAGAGTTCTCTTTTTCAATAGCCCTCATTTATGAAACTTGCGCAGAAAAGGGTGAATATTTTTGGTGTAGATTCCAATTACACAAAATTCAACGCAGGATTTATGAACGTGTGAGATCCGCACAGATCTGAGCGTATACACTTGATAAATGCCGCGCTCAAAACCAGCGTATTTATGAGAGTCAGCATGGAAGCCGGCCAGCAAGTCAAGTTGGAAGCCTCAAAAGGCCTGTTAGTGACACGCACTGAGTTCATATTGAGTTTTATTTTACAATTTTGTTTAAAAAGAAATATATGGTAATTTATGTATACGCGTTTTTCCCTATAGTGACCCACTGCAGCACTCATCTCTCTTGAACTTTAGAAGTGAATGAATAAATGAATCAATGAATGAAGGAATCTTAATATCTCAGCGGTGGCTCATCATTAACCGGGTGAAGCATCTGCGGAATCTCTCGTTATTTTTATATCAAATGTAGGAAACGTCACATTTTTGGGGGAAGTGGGACAACTTCCGAATACATACAGTATTTTCCCCACTGTATATAGAGTCTATGTTCTAAAAACCAGGATTAGTAAGGGGTTAATCAGTAAATTGTTTACTACTGAATTAATAGCATCATCCCTTTATCATTGCTTATTCTAGGAGCAGATCTCAAAGACAAAGCCAGACTCTGACCCTTCACATGAGGAGAGGCTGCATCAGTATTCCAGAGTTTCCTTGGACAAAGAACTGGTGGAGACAAACTGGTGCAGTCTGGTTCCACAGCTGCTGAACTCACCCGAGCATGACCACAGAGAGAAGGTGAACCATAAAAGGACATTTGTGTCCCTGTTCTTGACATCAAAACTTAATGTCGGTTTAAACATAATTTACAAGCTAATTTTATCAAGAAATTATTTCATCGAGAAACGTTAAAGCCTTTAAACACAATGAATATAAGACACGAATTGACTATAAAGTTTAAAAATAACCAAACCTTCCTGGCCTTTGATTCAGTTTAGATTCAATCCAGCAGCTGTATCGTAATCTAAAATAACCCAGACTCAAATTAATCATCAACTGATCTATACAGACCTTAAAACAAACTCTTGTTTCTCGAATTTTTCAATTGTGACAACAAACAACCTGAATACTTTTTTTTTTTTGACTTGTCAACTACTAAAACAATTGTTATCAGGATTGAGGTTGAGTAGTGCAGTAAAATACACTTTCATCAAAAAGTTCATAAGAAGCGACCCAAAGATTTCATCTGCTCACTTTGAATGGCAATAAAATTGCCAATCAACTTTTTTTGTTCTCTCTGGTTTATATTCCAGGTCTGCGAGATTTTTTATGCATTCTTTTAAATGTATTTCACTAGTACCTAATGCTGTGGTCTGTCTTTTTGAAAGTTTTAAAGTGAATATTTCATTATACTTTGTATAATAATGTGACCGGTTTGGGTTTTCTGGTCTTCCAGGCTCTCCTCACTTTGTTAGCGATGGCTCCGCTGTGTGTGGAACAGTTCGGCGCGGATCAGTCCCTGCAGACGTCTCTGATCAGTTTAAAGACTCATTATGAGGAAATCCTCCATAAAGAAAAGACTGCTGAGACAGATGGGGGATATTTCCAGGACATTGTTGAACTCATAGATCATCTTAAATTGAAAATTAGATAACAATTCATGCAAGACTTGTAGACCTACTGTATTTATTGTGGTAATAAAAGTAATAAAAAACAGAAGTTGGCCAAGGAGTTTTACTGCACAACTTTGTATAGTAAATTTGAATCTGATCATTAAAAGCAAAGTTATGAGTTATTTCAATCAAAGTCATGTTTCTAAAATCAGGGATCATTGTAATCATTTTGTTTATAACTTATTAGGGGAAAATATTTTGGAACAAGTGAAACCAGCGCTTTACAATCTTGACGAGGCAAGTTTCTCTGTATAGCACAGTTCATAGTCAGGCCAACTCAAAGTGCTTATCCAAACAATATCGAAACAATCACAAAGTGTTAAATTTATAAATGATCACAGTACATTAAAAAGAGAAAGATAAAATCTCTCAGTTGTATGCACATCTAACAGAACTGTTTTAACCTGGATTTGAACATTGTCAGAGACAAAGCAGAAGACTTCCTGATTTTAGTTGTATACATTTGAACTGTATCCCTCCCCATGTTGGTTATGACTCTGTCAGTGATGTTCTTTGGTACGAGGCCATGGAGAGACTACATTATCTACAGATAATACCTTTTATTATCACATGCCTACTTTCACATTTGAATAAACTGAATAGCTGTCTGCCCTGCTTTTACATTGCAACTTGTAGAATCCATTTGAATCTAATAATTAAAATCAAAGTTATGAATTATTTCAGTCAAAGTCATGAGTTTCTCAAAGTTAATTGAGCCTGTGAATATTAGAGATACTAGCAATCGTTTTGTTCATAACTTTATGGATCTGGTTGTAAAAGCTTGGTTCAAAGTTCAGGCAGTGTTAAATAATATATTGGTGAACAAGTGAAACCAGTGCCCTACAATCTACAGATAAGAGTTTTAATGATCACATTCATGCTTTCACATTTGAATGAACTGCTGCAGGTACATCATCTACTTCCAAAAAAGTTGGAAATTAGAGTGTTTGTCCAGTACATGAAACTTCCCAGCTGCTGGTGAAGAATTACTATTCAAACTGTATATTTCACGAATGAATTAAACTTTTTAAGTCTTATTTTTTGGATCCTCCCACAAAAAGGCGGTCCTTGCAAAGCACTTAAATGTGCACAGTGTTTTCATCTCCATCAGAGGCTCTCTCACTGCTCAGCTGTAAGTACATATACTTATATTTATTTTCAGATTAAAAACTTGAAGAATATGAAATATCAGACAAACAGGTGGAGTTGATAATCATACAATCGATGTTTAACTTAATCATACTTTATATGAATACGATTTCACATTTGAGAAATGGTAAAGTGTCCACTCCTCATCTATGGGATGTAACACATTCTTCTGTGCAGATGGGTGACGGCGAAGTGATGGAGATGGCTGCACTCGGCCGCCCCTTTAATCTGGGGATGTTGTACGACTGCAGAGCAGACAGACTGGTTCCAGGTATGGGTTTTTACAAGATCGATATTTGCATATTTTTCTTTTTTTATATATATATATATATATATATATATATATTAATTTATATATATAAATAAACAAATATGCACTCTTGTTCGGTAGTTAGAAATTATTATAATTGATTTACTTATGCGTTTCCTGCTGCTGGACACCTGAATTTCTCCTACTGGGGATCAATAATCTAGCCATCTATAAAAAACTTGCAAGTTACTTATACAAACATGTAATACACTGTTGGCGTCTTTCTAACGGAGAGTGGTGGCAGACCTACTTTTTTATAAAGTTAGAGTGATGACTTTTGATCCCCTCGCTTCTGATAAAATATATTGCAGGACAGATCATTTAATCTAGGGATTTATCAATTTTTCCAACATTTATAATCATATATAATATATAGAATCAGCTACAAAGGACTTAGGCTAAAACAAAAAGCATGGCTGTTATTTAATCAACATTGTTATTTACAGTGAACAATATGTATTGATCTTTCTATGTTCATTTATATCCATCCATCCATTTTCTTCCCCTTAATCCATTTCTGGGTTGGGGGGGTGGCAGTCAGAGCTGCACCCAGTACACAGAGCACCAGCCCCTCACTGATCCTCCTGCAGGTGGTGAGTCCAAAGGAGCCTTGATCTTTCAGTGGGGGCTTCGGGCAAAGTGGGGTTAAGTGTCTTGCCCACAGCAGTCATCAGTGGGAGTCGTGAAGTAGGTCTTATGGTGGGCTTGAACCCACAACCTTCAGGCTTAAAGGCCAATGCTCTACCAACTGAGCCACTGTCGTCATATGTTCATTTATATGGGCATGTTTTATCAGTTGCCGTGTGGAATAAAAAAATTCAAAAAGCTGTATAAATATTTCAGATCATATATTTAGTATTTAGATGGTCAGGCAGAGATATTTCTACTAGGTCCTCGTATTCAAACGTACCTCGACACCAATTCAGATTCAGATTCATTTATTACTAATTTTATTTTTTACTAATTATTTTATTTTATTTTATTTATTAGAAATGTGTCTTGGAGCAGGGGGGGTCAGTAGCACCCACAGATACAGACAAAAAGATAAAATAAAAAAAACAAGGACAAGACACACACACACACACACACACACACACACACACACGCACACAAAATTGCAACGCCACCCTATTGTTTAAGGCAGCCATTCCCAAAGTCAGTAACACCGGGGCCCCCTTAAAAAGCTGACGGGTCTGCGCTTCCCCCCAAAATAATAACCAAGAAGACAACGTTAAAAATAGGCACTTCTTGTTATTTTATTTGGGGGAAATAGCCCCTGCTACAAACGTGTAAATGACCATCCCCACTTTGTAATACACAAATGATTACAATTTGATGATTAAAGTCAAATAATGAACACAAATATTGTAGAATTACTAACAAAATATTGTTAATTTAACATACAATAATTATATAACACATCTTTTTTTTAATGACCTCTCGCGGCCCCCCTGCAGTACCCCCGCGGCCCACCAGGGGGCCACGTACCCCACTTTGGGAGACACTATAGGGAAACGTAAAATCTCCCTCACATAAAAGGACACACAGGTTCGAAGGACATGGAGGACAAAGATTGTGACTTAAAGATAATGAAAAATTTATTATATTTTAAATGTTTTAAAATATAATAAATATATTAGATGCCAGATGCACTGGCTTCCTGTGGCTCAGAGAATAGATTTTAAAGTAGCTTTACTTGTGTACAAGTCTCTCCCATGGCCTCGCACCAGGGTACATCCGCGACATGTTGGTGCCATATGAACCAACTCGGGCTCTGAGGAGCACAGGGACTGGACTTCTGTTAGTGCCAAGAGTCGGAACTAGACATGGGGAGGCTGCGTTTCAGATTCATGCAGCTAGAGTCTGGAACCGTCTTCCCGAGAGTGTGAGACAGGCGTCTACTCTAGCAGTTTTTAAAACTGAACTGAAAACAGTTCTTTTTAGCTGTGCATACAAGTGAATGATTTTACATTTGTTTTTATCTTTAATCTTTTTAATGCGCTATGATTATTTATGATTATTTATGATTGTAATCCCTTGTGTGATTTTAATTTTTTACGGTTTTTAACTACTTGTGTAATTTTATATATCTTGTGCTCTTAATCTGTCTTTTTATGTTTACTTAAATTCTAATGTTTGATGATTTATGCATGATGTTATATGGGTTGTGAGGCGCTTTGCGTTGCCTTGTGTAGGAAAGGCGCTCTATAAATAAACGTTGATTGATTGATTGATAAGTTTCAGTTCAGAAGTTCTGCCTCGGACAGTCTTTGATCCAGGCACATTGTTGGTCCACACACACAACATGAACATGGAACATGAAGGGGCAAAGAAGAGGCAAAGAAGAGGCTTGTGATGACCCTGAGAACATTAGTTTAGTAGAGGTTATACTCACCCCCACTCATCCCACCACTATACTGTCACAACTTATATTCATTCTATTACTTTATGCATTTCTCCCGGACACTCTCTAAACTGTAAACAACAACGCTATTTGCACACACAAGGTGCGCAAACAACATCATGTTTAGAGTTTACGGTCTATGATTTGGTGGCTTACTGTGGATATGTGAAGAAGATGACAAAGTCTGGGATCCTGTCTTTAATTCAGACAGAAGACGTGTTTTATTCTCGATGGTAGACAGCACGAACAAAGATGTTACATACAGAATGCAGTGATAATATCCAGCATGGAGGAATGGAGTTCTCTAATCAGCTATCGCCTCAGAAATCAAAACATGCAGTGGAAAATAACTACCTTGTGCATATTGTTTGAATCATGAGTTAGAACTTTAACCACAGTTGCTTCAAAGTGACATGAAATACCCAAATATGATTGCATGTTTGACAAAAAAGCAATAGAGAAGTTGACAAGCTATTTAATGTGCCAATGTGCTTCAAGCTGCCATGGTGTTTTGTGAAGCATTAAAAAACAAACCTATATTGTATTTGTGTTTTTTAGGCATAACACTATGGGACATTGGGGATCTCATGCAAGACACAAGAGTGGCGCCAAAACCCAACAGTGAATTTCACGTAGTGGCATCTGAATCCATCTCTGACAAGTCCTCTTCGATGGGAGTGGAGGCTTCGGTGAAAGCCAGTTTTCTGGGTGGGCTTATAGAAGTTGAAGGTTCAGCTAAATACCTGAAAGAGACCAAAACCTCAAAAAATCAGGCCAGGGTCACATTGCAATACAAAACAACAACAGAATTTAAAGAGCTGACCATGAATCATCTGGGCAGAGGAAACATCAAGCATTCTTATATCTTTGACAAAGGCATCGCAACACACGTAGTGACAGCCATCCTCTACGGGGCCCAAGCCTTCTTTGTGTTTGATCGAGAAATTAGCAAAGAAGAAAATCATGATCACGTTCAAGGAAGCCTACGGGTTAAAGTCACTTCGATACCCTTGCTTGCAATTGAAGGAAGTGGAGCTTTGGATTTAGATGAGCAGGCCAGAGAAAGTGTGAATAAATTTTCATGCACTTTCTATGGAGATTTCTGTCTTGATCAAAGCCCAACAACATTTGAGGATGCCATCAAAGTTTACAGAGATCTTCCAAAACTTCTGGGCAATGATGGAGAGAAGGCTGTGCCTGTGAAAGTGTGGCTGGTGCCTCTCTCCACCCTTGACTCTTCAGCTGCTAAACTTGTGCGTGAGATCAGCGTGCGCTTAGTCCTGGAAGCACAGACAATTCTAGAAGACTTAAGTGATATTGAAATGAGATGTAATGATGTTTTAAAAAGCACAGCTGCTCAGCAGTTCCCACTCATTGCCAAAAAAATCCAAACCTTCTTGGCCTTGTGCTCTGAATTTAAGCTGGGATTCCAAGGAACTTTGGCAAAAAAACTTCCTAAAATTCGTGGAGGTGGAGCGGAGGAGGCAGAACTTGCTGAATTTTTGAAGGAGAGGGCTGCATCTCCATTTAATAATAACAGTTTGGATCAGTGGATGGATGGTAGGGAGAAGGAAGCTTACACCTTAAAGTCCATCACAAACTTGTTGGCAAACGCCAAGATATTACAATCAGAAGACCACCTTTACCAGGAAACCTTTAACTCCCACAAAACAGTGTGTTTTCTGTTCAGCTCTCTTGGTGATACTGACCCGTACCTCTGCGCTGTAGAGAGTTATCTTAGAGGTGAACAGTCTGATGAGTTTGGTCCTGGGGCTCAAGACATTGAAAAGGAACAGTGGTATTGTTCTAGAGAGATGTGTGATGCTGTCCGATGCAATGCAAAGCTTTTTAGTGATTTTGTAGAAAACAACAAAGATGAAGACACTGGATTCTTTGTTGTAGGCTTACAAGATGAGAATTATAAAGGTTCGACTATATATATTTATGAGGATGGATTTAGAGTTCTTGACAACTTTCAGCCACCTTCAAAGCCTCTCTCTGTGAATGTAGATAACATTGAACACAACAGTGTGACCCTGAGCTTCTCTGCTCCTTCATTTGGTGTTGAGACCATCAAAACTTACAGAGTGGAGTACTGTGTGGATGGAGCAGAAGAATGGGAGCAGACAGAGACAGAAGGAGACCAAGTCACAGTCACTGGTCTGAGCCCCAACACTGAATACAGCTTCAGAGTCCGAGCAGTCACAGATGTGGGTGTGGGGCCAGCTGCTCAAGTTGACAATATTGTAAAGACTTTACCTTGTGGTCCACCTGAAGAGCTTCAAGTAACTGTAAACTTCAGTGAGGTTTTAGTGCACTGGAAACGTCCTGCAGAAGTCGGACAAAATGTTCAGATTCATAGCTACAGTGTTGAGCATGGTGAAACAGAGAATGAAATTCAGTGGAAGCAAGAAGCGTCCTACTCTGAGCAGGTGTTGATTTTCGGACTTGATCCACTGGCTCCTTACACCATCAGGGTTTGGTGTGAATGTGGTGATGATGGGAAGAGCAAAGAAATCACCACAGTCACCAGGTCACGGCCTACAGAAACGCTCATACAATCCTGTGAGAAGGTTTCTGATGATGACAACATTCCAACAATCTACAAACTTCCTCTGACAGAAGAGGAATTGGAACTGTCTGGGTGTACAAGATACGTCTATGGTGAGGAGACTCAAATGGAGAACCGTTCTATTATCCTGGTTGGATCTGAGGGAGGTGACAAAACGACTCTCATTGATGCTTTGATCAACTACATCTTGGGCGTCAAATGGACTGACTCATATCGGTTCAAACTCACTGAGGAGGATCAAAATTCAGATGTAGCGATCTATAAAATAAACCACCAGGATGGGTTTAGAATCAATTCCTCTCTCACAATCATCGACGCCCCAGGATTTGGAGATGCACATGATATTTCTACTAACAGAGAAATCATAGAGCAACTTTACAAACTTTTCACAGACAATGGAGTGGATTGTCTGCACGCTGTGTGCTTTGTGATGCAATCGGCTTCAGAGAAACCCTCACATCTGCGCTATTTGGTGGACTCATTTCTTTCTGTTCTTGGGAATGATATGGGTGAAAACCTTACATTTCTTCTGACCTTTGCAAATAACGAGCCGTCTCCAGCTCTACTGGCATTGGCCGATTTGGGTTTACCGAGTCCTGAAGTAGTGGATGGTGTACCAGCTCACTACAAATTTAACAACTCTGTACTTTTCACTTCAAACCAGGATTCTGAAGCAAATTCAGAGGAGAAGTTGATCTGGGAAATAGGAATGGAAAACATCAAGAGTTTTTTAAACAATTTGCACCAAACTGAGTCGAAAAGTTTGGACCTGACCCGCGAGGTTATGAGAGAAAGAAAGCAGCTGGAAGACTTGGTAGAAGATTTAGAGGAGCAGATGAATGTTGGAGTAGCCCTGAGGAGTCAGATACTAGATGCTGAGGAGGAGACAAGTGAGGAGATGCGTGAAGAGTATGAAAACCGCAGGGAAGAAGTAGTTGAGTTGGGGAAAGATCTTGAAACACGTATAGTGCATCTTGCTTCAATTGCGCTCAAACCAAGTCCTCTACAAAGTTCTGAGTACATTGACTCACTTGTAGTAGAAACAGCATCAGAGGCCAAGCCTCAATGGGAAAAATATGTACAAACTTTGCAGGAAATGAAAATACTGGCAGAAATAATGGAGAAGGTGGGAATTGGAGAGAATCTTCTTGAGTCAATGCCAGCAAATGATGAAAATGATGAGTAGACCAGTTGTCTTAGAAGACTGATATTTTATTGCTGTAGGATTTTGCACTCATGAATTATGTACTAAACAATTGGATTTATACATTCGTAATATGTGATTGTTATTTTATACAATGTTTAAAATAAATTAACCAACAAAATGTAATGACAATACATTATTACTGTATGCCTCAGTTGATTTTAGAGTGGTCTTTCGAAGCAGATCGATTAAATCTGACTGTGTTTGATTGTATATTTTAGGCAACTAGTTTGAATTAAAATGAGATGGTTGCATTGTCATTTTTTGAGGGAATTATTGGTCTTTAGAAAAATTGAAATATTAATACATATATATTTGGATGAATCAAATTATATAATAATAATCTGTCATGGAAAATCGAATCCTATAAATTGATCAAATAGACTATGTTGATAATACATACACAGACACACTTGTTCAGCTAGAGCTATTACTCTAGAGCCTCATGGCATCTGATTTAATTAAAAAAAAAAAAAAAAATGTCTATGTGTGTAGTAACAGAGTTGTCCAGCAGTCGGCAGCACTGCACCTCCCCAAACAGCTGAGGAAGTAGGACAGACAAAACAATGCATTGCATTGCATGCTACTATGAGCTATAACTTTACAACCGAAATACATAATACAATATTATTATTTCATGGAAAAAAGTGTTCTCACATAAACATCCGTGCGTAATGACGCTGTAAATGAGCCAAGCGTGTGGTGAGTGCACTTGTTTGTGTCGATTGTTGACATTTGCTAGCATTTTAGCACTGGCATTATTATTATGTGAGTGATCTGTGAAAAGGCTCACGTTACCTCCAGTTTTAGAGAGTATTTACATATGTTTGGGTCCCACTTTAGGACCCATGCTGCACTTGTAGTATGCAGTTCATAATTATCAGTTTTCAGTTATTTGTTTTATTACCAAACAATCAATCTGCTTGTTACCGATGCTGTGCTGTACAAGGTTTAAGGGCAGTCAGTGATGATCCGGGATTTTTGTAAAGTCCTATGAGAAAAATGCAAAAATAAAATCATTTATTAATCTGCAACGCCTGTGTCAGACCATTCCCAATGTTTATGACCATGTTTTGGGCATCAATTCATTCATATTTCACTAATTTCTGGTTAAGTTTGCACCCAAACCAGACTTAGATATTGGATTGTTGATCTACCCTATCAATGTAAAAAAAAATATTTCTATTGTTTGACAGAGATGGAGTTGTCACAGAGAGACAAACTTTCTGAGCTTGTGGAGGAGCTGACGACGTCAGGGCAGGGTGAACTAAACCAAGACAAAATGAAGGAAATAAAGACTCTCTGCAAGTGTGTCCCACTAAATATTTATATATATAAAAATGATATGCATAACTATTTATATATACACAAATGTATCATTGTATATATTGTATTATGTGTAGTATAATTATTGTATGTCTTTCCAGGCTATCTAATGACTGCATAGACCATGTTTACCATTCACTCATGTCTCAGTTGAACCAGGACCACTCAGAAATCCGGTTTTCTGCTTTTCAAATTGCCAGTGAACTTTTCAACAGATCTCATCATTTTAGAACGCTGTTGGTAGACAATTTCCAGGTATGTATTTGGTTTACATTTACATTACTGTTGTAACACATACACCTTATTCCAATCGTTTTCAAAAGGATTTCCTAGAGTTGACTGTAGAGACTGACCTTGATCAGCCCCTACCTCCTCCCAAAGAAGTCGCTAAAAAGTTGAAATCGTTGGCTATTAAGACGGTCCAGTCTTGGCAGGCATCTTATGGATCAGCATACAAAAAACTGGCATTAGGGTACCATTTTCTCAAACAGGTTAAAAAGGTGAGTGGGGAAAAAACCTACATGACTTTTGAAAAATATTAAATTAATAACTCTTTTTTTTTTCTTTATATTTGTAAGAGTTTGAATCTGAATCTTTATTTCATTCAGGTAGATTTTCAGGATGTTGAGGCCCGGACAGTGGCAGACAGAAGGAGGGAGGAAGAGCGGAGAAGTCGATTGGAGAGAATCTATAAGGAAAAAGCAGAGGCAGCGACTAAAGACATGGAAGGTGAGCACTGTGTGCAAGTAGTAGTGGGCGGGTGGCTGAGTGGATAGCACTCTCGCTTCTCAGCAAGAAGATCCTGGGTTCAAATCCCGGTCGGAACAGGGCCTTTCTGAGTGGAGTTTGCATGTTCTCCCCGTGTCTGCGTAGGTTTCCACTAAAAACATGCACAATAGGTATGAATGTAAATGAGAGAGTGAATGGATGGTGTTGATTGGGGCTGATGCGCCAGTGTGTTCGGCGACTCGCTTCTGTCATCACCGTGTGTGGAGTGATTGGAACAATATCTGAATTCTGAATATTGTGAAGCGCTTTGGGTGACCTTGGTCTGTAAAAAATGCGCTATATAAATAAACATATAAAACTTACAATAGACAATTCCTCCATTAAACAGTAATAATAATCCCTCGGTTTTAGATAGTAAGTTTTTGAACACTCAAAGATGCTTCACTTGGCATTATTCTTCCATTCCATACACAGTGGTGATATACAATCAATCAATCAATCAAAGTTTATTTGTAGAGCGCCTTTCATACACATGGCAACACAAAGCGCTTCACAGTCCACATCACAAATCATCACATAAAACAAACACCAGAATCACAATTAAAACATTAAAATCACACAAAAGATTAAAACACAATTAAAACATTAAAATCACACAAAAGAATAAAACCATTAAAACTTTCAAAATTACACAAGAAATTTAAATAAATAAATAAATGACAGCAGTGCATTAAAAATGGAGATAAAATCCTTCAGTTGTATGCACAGGCAAACAGAACAGTCTTTAACCTGGATTTGAACATTGACAGAGTAGACGCCTCCCTCACATTTTCAGGGAGATTGTTCCAGATCTTAGCTGCATGGATCTGAAACGCAGCCTCCCCATGTTTGGTTCTCACTCTGGGCACCAGCAGGAGGCCAGTCCCTGTGCTCCTCAGAGTCCGGGCTGGTTCATATGACACCAACATGTCACTAATGTATTCTGGTGCAAGGCCATGGAGAGACTTGTACACAAGCAGAGCCGTTTTAAAATCTATTCTTTGAGCCACAGGAAGCCAGTGCAAAGACCTGAGGACCGGACTAATATGGTCATACTTCCTGGTTCCTGTCAGGACTCTAGCTGCTGCATTTTGGATGTACTGCAGCTGCTTACAGGTCTGTTTGGACAGACCTGTAAGCAGGCCATTGCAGTAGTCTAGCCTGCTGGAGACAAATGGAGACAATATACCACTACTGTCGCCACAGCTGCCCTGTGGAAAGGCAGTGAGGAAACTAGTATGTGCCATCAGCCCCTCACAACACCACAAACTATATGCACACACAAATCAGGCTCATAGGAAATGTGTATTAAGTGTCTTGCCAAAGAAGAAAACGACTTTACAGTCGCATCCACCCCTGCACTGCTTAGCAACAGAGGTCTGACAGAATCTGACTTTGAAATGATCGTAACTGTCTGATCTAATTAAAATAATAAGAGTTTTATATTTTCATATTTATCAGACCTATTTTATAAGTGCTCTTAATCATTACATATTTCAATTAGATTCTTATGAAGAAATTGAAGCAACCCTGACTGAGATGGAGTCGTGTATGAATCTGCTGCTTCCAGACTTCGAGCTCACAAGTGTCAAAGAGGACTTTCCCAGAAACAGCTCTCCTAAACCAGCTAACGTACATGAGACACAGCCTTGTTGTAGTAAAGACTTAGTTGAAGAACAAGCAACAAATTACGATCAAAATCAAAGTACAGAAAAAGAGCAGCTGAAGCCGCAGAACACAAGTCAAAGGGAGGATGAAGATGAAAGCAGCGACGAAGATCAACCTGCGAATGAAGATGTGTTTATCCGTAACTCTGGGCTCCTCTCACATGCGTACAGTCTCGATATAAATCTGAGCCCTGGTAAGTTCATGTTATCTATTACTATTTACTAAATTGTGTGAATTAGATTACAACATTTTACTAAACCTGTGATATGCTTTTGTGTGTAATTTCAGGGCTTCATGTTAAAGAAAATGAAGACAATGAGGCAGTGGTCTCTACAGTGAGAGATCTGCACCGATTGATGACCACAAAGCATCTCCCAGCGGTGCAGGGATGGGTCCAGGTCAATAAACACTATACATCAGGGCTCTACAACCTGCAGCTCGGGAGCCACCAGTCGCTCGCCAAAGGATTTAGAAATGAAGAAATCAAATAATATACTTAATATTTCAGATTGTATGATTCATTATCAATATTTATTATTGTAAAGGAACTTTTTTCACCAGTAACAAATATGAGATGATAAATAATGAGCAGGCTCATTCACAGAAATATTTCACTAAACTTTCCCAGGGCTTAAAGGAGTAGCTTTCTGCCTTTATTGTCTCAGGAAAGTAGCTCTCTGGGTGAAAAATGTTGGAGACACTGGCTATATGTGGTTTAATGTGTCCTCTGTAGGTATGAAGTATATGTCTGCTTTTAGGTTTTAACTAAAGCAGGAGCCGAGCAGAGGTTGTTGAGGAGAGCTCTAGATCTGAAGAATTCTTTAGAGGCTGCTCTACAGAAACACAAGGAGCTACACATCGACTACAAATCCAGAGTCCGGAAAGTGGTGAGTTTCACACGAGCTCTGGTGTGTTGTGTACATATGACCAGCAGATGGCAGCAGTTTGCTACAAACAAAGAAACATCAGCATCCAAAGCATAATATCCAATCCGTGGTTAAGGAAAATACTTAACTGTATTTGTTTTTGTTGTGTAATCAAGTACAACACATTTCTGTTTGCTGCTGCATAATAATGGCATATTATATAATTTAAAAACCTGTATTACAATGTAAACCTAATATTCTGACGAGAATCAACTCACTTCAGTGTCTTGTTTTGCTTTCATGTCTTACCTTTCTGTTTGTGTCTTTTGAGTCAATCTGGAAGTGGGAATCTCACAGTAAAGACATTTACTGAACATTTAATGTTGAGAAAGAAGCAAAGCCATAATGCATAATGCATCAGAGACAGACAAGAAATGGGGAGGTGATACCCATTTATCCCCTTCACTAGCGCTAATGTGCCCTGTGCTTTGACAACTGATATGTTATCGGCTCAGCATCGTTCTTCCACCTGGAGCTCTGATTGTCTGATAATTGATCATTTGAGAATGTCTTGTGGTTAGCAGTTCATTTGTTGTGGATATTTTTTAAATTATATCTTGTTATTAGATATTATTATGATAGTATAATATCACTATTGTTACAATTGTGAAGGGTCAGGAAACTATCGAAGTCAAGTCTGCAATCCAGTCTCACAGCTAAAGAGGACAAATGAATGCAAAGTGGTTTATGCGTTTAAAAAAGCTGCATAAAAGTTGTAGCATGTGAATCCATCTTTAGGCGAACAGAGCGGCGCAGTGACAGTGACAGAGCGCTCAGCTTCTTGCTCTGCCTGGTTATCACTGTCAGGGACCAGTCTGCTGCACCAGCAGGCCCAGCGCCGCGATAACCACACAACTTACAGCCCCTTTATCATAATTAGCTTTTCCTTTTTAGCCTTAAAAGGCCTTCCATTACTGGGTCCTTCTCTATCGGATCCTTGACACGCCATGCGATTGGATTCTCTCTCTACGGGCCTTTCAATATAGTGTCCCAGAACAGTGACTTGGAGATAGGTAAACTGTAACAGGCTGCTGATACAGAGTGCTGTTTATTGAATGCAATATTAAAATGCCCCATTTACATTAAAATGAACCTTTCTCCACAGAAATGCTTTTTTCAAAATATCATGTAAACTCATTAAAACTAAAACTAATTGGTCCCACCTCAATAAACAAAAAAAAACTTCTACACCCATTGTACAGAGAATGGTAACTGTCCAAATCACCAAACTGTTTGATTCCTTCACTGGCAATCTTAAACTCAGCTTAAACTCAGAAAACAAGTATTACCGTGGTCACATTCAGGTTGTTCTTTAGCATGCCATTATTTAATTAGAAAGACAATACTTCAAACACTGAACCCGAGCCTATCCAGCCAACCTGAAGTCTTATGAACTTGATTAGGGACAGAAATGTCATGCTATATAATTGTATTTTTTATACATTTATAGGTTTAAAACTAATCTTAAATATTTGCCATGAAGACATAGGCCTTTGTTAAGAGTAGGACAAGAAACACAGACTTATTTGAACATATCTGTTTTTAAGAGTGTATTCACTCACTCTGGGCTCCATTCATACAGGCCAAGGCCTTGTTTACTGCTGATAACCCATCTTATCACTGCACAATGGATGTGGCCGCCTGTTCCTCCACACAGATAAACAAAAGAAACAATATCCTTTTATTTCTTTCTTCCACCACCATTCAACGTCTTTGTACTTTCATTGTCTTGTTGGTGCCTCTTTCACTCTCTTAGTAACATTATGATCCCTGCACAGATTTGGATCAGTGCATCCTTTTGTTAGCTATTTGAAGAATGCATAATGTTTTAAAGGGACTGTATGTACAGTATATGGCCTGGTCTGCAATTACAATTAACCCACGATTTCCCAGTGTTTTTACTTACACATATAGGCTCAATTAGCTGCTTCTGTTTAATCATGATCTGCACCTGTTGAGGTCTATGTAGAGACCAAACTCTCTATGTTTAACCATTAAAACTGGCGAACCAAAGAAGAGATTTCTTCTGCTTTCTAATTGGATACAACGCTTGAGAATTTTTACTATAGGCGTTAACATAAATAATGTGCCAGTCATTGGTATTGTAATGTAATTAAAATAAATCCAAATAACAATTGTTTATGGAAAACGTTTAGTTTTGTCATATTGTTTATTTAAGGCCAATATGAAAATATAACAATTCAAAGACGAGAATGAAGCACCTTGTTTGTATTTATAAATTCGGGACAGACTTCCACAACCAGGACTAAATTATCCAAGAGTTAACTATCCATTTTGGAACAGATGAACCAGTTACTCTCAAGGCAATGTTATAAATGGGTCTCAATTTGCAATCAATGCTCAGTGCTGTAACAAGTAGTTTGTACAATTCTTTTGAAATGTATTTTATTGGTAGGATTACAACAGTTTCCCAATAATGTACTTTATCATAAGATCCCTGCGTTGTGTCCCTGTGCCCATGGCTCTCATTTGGTTTATAATGTGAATAAATAGAGATGTCTATCAAATGGGAAGTGATAGATCTTTATATTGACTGCTGGTGTGTGACGATGCGCTGCAAATAAAGTCACGCACATTTAGACTTTTCTATACGGAAAAAAACCGTAACAGCTGACGACTTGATTCAAAAAGAAAAGTCTTATAATGACTCTTTTGATCACAGATTAAGACAAGGCGAGACGGGGAAGTGGAGCAGACAGTTGCGAATAAGCCCGGTGACAGGGGAAGGTTGGGGAAGCTCCCGGTTGGCTAATGGACCTGCCAGCCTAGGTTAGCGAAATAAAGATGTCACCTTTTACATCATACAAGCTGACTGCTCCCCAGAGACGAAGGTTTGCGTTTGACGTTATGTGGAATCTCCGTAGATGAGGTGGAGAGGCTGCAAACACCGAAAAGGAGGAGCTTTTTTACTCATTAGTGGTGTCCCCCATGGGATGCTCTGGGGGTAGTAATGAATTGGAGTGCACAGTGGTAATAATGGAGCTGTACCAGACTGTGCTGTTGTGGCCATTTAACTTGTGAATAGGTCAGACTGGAGTGGAAGCTTACGGTCTAATTAGTTTGTAAATATGTTCAAGTCAATCAGTGAAGTTCTGGTGTCTTTTAAATGGAAACTGTTGTGTATTTTAAGCTCTGTCTAAAGCATTGAGACATGTTTGATTTATTAGCTTGATAATAAAGTATGATTTGTTATGTTTATGTGACTGGCCTTTCCCCGCAGTGGCCCGCGATCATATCCGGGTTTGTCAAAGTGTTTTGGGTGAAACTATATACTATGTTCTATGACAGATTGCTCAAGAACGGTAAAAGGTAAAAACAAACCGTTTTTGCAGATTAAAGAGCCTAATCTTTGATTTGGTGCTTGGTGTTTATATAGTCAAATAACTTAATATCCTGTGGCTCTTCAAAGTTAGGTCAAATCCCCTGAAAACACAGCAGAACGCACTTCCCTGTTCATACAAAAGGTCTGGTAGTCAATGAGTCAAAAATAATAATGACAATTTCACCATTAAATATAAATGGTAGATCATCTTTTTTTTATCATCTTTTTTTAGAATAAAGAAAACTTAATTGTAAAAAAAAAAAAACATTTGATGAGACTTGATCTATCCCAAGTAAAATAATGTTAGTCTCTCTTTGATTTGGGGGTTACCCCCCCTAGGGCCATGGCTAGGGGAGACTGATCCCCCCCTCTCTGGAGGAAACGCTGAAGAAATATGTTCCAACTTTAGCACGACATCATGGCAATGTATATGGAGGCGGACAACAACAATAATTCCTTGTGTTTGCATATTGTGGGTTCCATTGTGATATTGTACATAGACATGACGTATTTCAACCTAAAATAGCCTAATTTCTGTGAAAAAGGTGTTGGTTATAGAATTGTTATTGACATAACTCTTGTCTATTCAGCTACTTTGGTCCCAGCTGGATTCGGTGCCTATCTGGCAACCTGTGTCCGGGAGAGTGAGAGAGGACTACAGAATTTGACTGTGATTTCAGAACCACATTGCTTCTTTAATTAATCCCTCTAGTAAATCAGAGTTCTATTTTCAAGTGTGAAAGTATAAGACACAGCTCTGGTCACAGATATTGAAATTATTCTGTAAGATCTTGTGCAGTCAGGTTTAGTTAAATGGTGGAGTGGAGATGACTAAATAAATAGTCACTTTCCTAAAAAAAATATGTTCTTTCCCTGTATTTGCAGTACATGACTGTGTTATAAGTATTTATATATAATGTGGCCGCTGAGTGGTGCTTCTCATTTACGTCTCATTGCTCTCTTTTAGATAAAACGTGCGTTGATTATGCAGTTGTTACAAAGACATTACCATTTGAGCCCTAAACGCACAGTAGAATAATCTGCTCTTACAGTGTGGTTTGTGAGCGTTCTATTAAGTTGTCAGTGAAGGCGCTGCTGTGAAGTTGCTCCCCTTACACTGTGTGTGTTTCTGATGGTTCCAATGCCCCTCCCCTCTCCACTCACCTGACTTATAGCTGTGCAGTAATAATTTGCCAGACCTTGGCAGTCTGAGTGTACATTAGCATATAAATAGCAGATGCACTGAGTGCCCATCTCCGTCGACTACATTTAATTTTTGGTTTATAAGATTGAATGGGTTTTTAAACACAGCACCATCAAACTTGCCAAGAGACAAATGAAGTCAGAGGTGCAGTTGTCCGAAGCGGTGGCCTCCCATCATTGTATATAAGATTAGAGTTTTATTTAAATGGGATGCACAAAGATATGTTCTAGAATGTGATTTAAGAAGACACCTGTGGAGAAATAATTTCTAATCCGATTACTGCTCTTGTTTCTGAATCATTCACCAAAAGAGTCACTATTTTCATACTATCATTACTATTTTTACATCATGTAGTCATCGTAACTACACTGACTCATGTAGTTTTAACTTATGTATTAGTCATAACTTGACAAA